CAGGATCTAGTTGGTTACAGGTTCTTTCTTCACGGGAAGACAGGCTTTGAAATCAGACACTGAAATCCGAGCCCAAAGCCCACCAAACTGGCCAGGTCTGTTCCATGTCTGTGGGACCCCTGCCATTATTGTGCACAATATCACACACGATGAGTCTTCTCCACGCCTGCCCCCACTCTCTGTCCCTGAAGACTGGTCTGTCCTAGGACGGACACCTTTCGCTGACGACCTTTCACTCCCTAAGAGAATCTGGGCGACGCCAAGGGAGGTTTCACAGCTAAAGGAAAGTTCTAACACCTGCCAGTCAATGCCAAGCCACCCAAGTTAGCCAAGGACCCAGTGGCCCATGGAATCTCTAAAGTCAATGGAAGGCATTTCCAGGGTAGGCAGGTGAGACTTTCCAGTGGAAACATCCTGACATTCTATAAACCAGCACAACGGACAGCTGGAGTCCACAGTTGAATCCACTACCTGGGTTCAGACCCAGTGATAATGGCAGCATCTACATACAACATGGAGCTGTTGTGAGGACCAATAAGTTAATCCATGCATCTAGGAGTGAGGGGGTTGCAAGGGTGGGGCACAGACATAGTGGAGGATAGGGCTAAGTTCTACCACAGATGTGAAATCACATCACTGCCTAGTTCACCACAAAGGCCTCTTATCTGCATGATTTATTACATCTCAAGAGCACACTGGAAGCGCTTAAGTCTTACTGACATCCAGCAGCGGAGTGGCCTCTACAGCTCTGTTACTGGGGTCCTGAACAAGAGGATGTTAGATTGAGTTATTAGCAATGAGCTTCTTAATTAAAATGGTAAAATCCACTGCTTCCTGGAGTAGCACCCTGGTGCAAGGCTGTGGGGAAGCAGCAGGTGCCCAGAGCAGCAGTGTCCCCTGGTATTTCCCTACATTTTCCCATCTGGGACCCAGCTTCCTTCCCTCTCTCCCTCTCCCTCCCTCCCTCCCTTCCTTCCTCCCTGCCCTCCTTCCTTTTCCCCTTCTTTCCTTCCTTCCCTTTTTAGAGCAGGACCTTTCTACTACAAGTCTTAAATAGAACACCAATATCTAAAGCAAATACAATGTATTAGTAGCACAAATGTATTGTGCAATATCAGATTTTACTCTATGAAAACTAAACTTTCTTAATCCAAAACTGTACTTGCCCAGGGCCTTTGCATATGCTGTTCCCCCTTTACTTGAAACACTCTTCCCCCAGAAACCTGCATGACACCTTCTCAGCAAGACCTTTTGTTGATCTATTTATTTTTTTAATTTAATTTACATTCAATTAATTAACATATAGTGTATTATTAGTTTCAGAGGTAGAGGTCAGTGATTCATCAGTTGTATATAACATCCAGTACTCATTACATCATGTATCCTCCTTAATGCCCATTACCCACTTACCCCATCCCCCCACCCCCCTCTCCTCCACAACACTCATTTTGTTTCCTATAGTTAAGAATCTCTTAGTCTCCCTCTCTGATTTCATCTTGTTTTATTTTTCCCTCTCTTCCCCTATGCTCCTCTGTTTTGTTTCTTAAATTGCACATGAGTGAAATCATAAGATAATTGTCTTTCTCTGATTGACTTATTTCGCTTAGCATAATACCCTCTAGTTCCATCCACATTGTAGCAAATGGCAAAATTTCTTTTTTTTTTTTTGATGGCTGAGTAGTATTCCATTGTGTGTGTGTGTGTGTGTGTGTGTATCTCACATCTTCTTTATCCATTCAGCTGATCTTCTATCTAAAATCGCACACACCCCTCCACCCCTGGCAGTCACTCTCCCCATGTCCCCACTTTATGTTCCTCCACAGCACTTCATATATTGTCTACAGTTTACTTCTTTGTCTTCGTCTGTCTCCACCTGAACTTCATGAGTGCAGGAATTCTGTGGCTGTTTTGTTTGCTGCTGTGTCTCAGCGCCCAGAATAGTGCCTGGCACACAGTAAGCATTCAACAAATTTTTGTTGGATGGTTGATAATGATGCAGCTATTCAAGCAAACAGACAAATATCAAGTTGGGTGTGAATTAATGCAATAAAGAATCTAACTCCAGGGTGCCTGGGTGGCTCAGTTGGTTAAGTGACTGCCTTTGGCTCAGGTCATGATCCCAGAGTCCTGGAATCGAGTCCCACATCGGGCTCCCCCTTCTCTGTGGGGATCCTGCTTCTCCCTCTGCCTGCCACTCCCCCTGCTTGTGCTCACTCTGTCTCTCTCTCTCTATGTGAAATAAATAAATAAAATATTAAAAAAAAAATCCTAACTCCATTTTTGATGTGTGACTGTTGGCAGCTTTCAATCTCCCCCCACTGTCTCTTCCCCTTCTGCCCACACCTGGGCAAGCTAACAAGAAAGTCCAGCTGCTTCTTCTTTTGGTACTGGAGGGAAGCTCAAGCAGCAGAGTGGCTTCTACAGCTCACCCCAACCCCACTCCCTGACCACGATAAAACCCTAAGCCAGTCACCCATCCCTGCTCTTGCAGGCTGATTTCAGACCTGCTTGGGAGCCCTCCCTGCTCCGCCCAGAAAGCCTCATTATGTGAGTATTAAGTCACTTCACACATTTTTAGTGCATCTGTGGTGTCAGTTTCAACCTCTGAACCAAATTTTGAGCAAGAGGTCTCAGTGAAGTAACACAACAACGGTTGCTGTCACATCAGCCCCAGCCCCCAGGGTGGCTCTGTAATTGCTTTGTTTGCGCTACAGCAAGAAAACCCTCATTTGTGAAATTAAGGGGTTGCCAATGGTAACAGTTTTCTTTTTTCTCAGGTTATTTTGCAACCTCAGGACACTCTTTTGACTAGTGGATTCCGAAGCTTGAAAGCAAAATAGAAGCACACTGTTGTTTCAAACACGAATTCCACATCATATCAACTGCTCACGTTCATAAACCTAAAAATAAAAGCCAGGCAAAAGCACCTAGAACTGACAATTAAGGGCCAAAGTTATCTGTAATCTGGTTTCACTGTGTTACCTTAGGTTACACATTCATTTATTTTTGCACAATTTTGTCCAAGAGGAAACTGAGAGATTATTTTGCTGTGACAAGAATATGAACTGGGATAATGCCTGATCCTTGCCTGCAATGGGATGGCTGTGTTGGACATGTGACAGATGGTGTAGACCTTCAGAAAAGTTGACATGAGCTGAGAAGCAAGGTCTGAGTTTAGAAAAAGATCACTGATGACCTGCCTGTGACATATTTATAAGAAACTCACATACCATATTTCATCTAAGCTGTCACTGAAGCTAAGACACATCACTTAAAATAAGATAAAAACACTGCCAATTTAAATTAAAACAATGCTCTCTTATCCTTCTAGAATTTCAATTTCATAAAAATATGATGTCATGATTTTTAAAAGCTCTTCTTCACTCTCCTAGACAATTTTTTATATATCACTTTCTGTTTGCATAAAAAGGAAAATATAAGAGAAATACATTGCTTAAGAGATTCTTCAAACTTATTCATATTTAAAGTCCAGCTCTTCTGAATCATATGTTTCCATTAGAGTCAACAATGCTGGATGCAACATTTCTTAAAAGGATGCTTTGCTATTGTCGCCAAGATTTTCTTCCTAGCTGCTGACCCCCAGTCTGCAAATTTTGATATTGGCACTGTCTTGATTTTAGAAGAATATGTTTCCAAAAAGGGGGGGGGTGTTTCAGACCCCAGCTCATGATCCAGTGGTTTTGTGGTCTAAAACATCAAGGGGGGCTATTGTGTGGTCAGGCTGTCCGGAGTCACAACCAAGTTTGACTGTGTAGATGATGACAAACACAATACAACTGCCATCTGGCTGGCAGTGACGATAAGACACACCCTCGTCTCAAACGTGTTAAGATGTGGAAAAAATGTGCATTGCAGAATTGGTCAACACAATAGAAATGGCAGGAAAAGCTTGTACAAAATGAATCGATCTGGTGTAAAACAGGATGTTTTGTGGTTTTGCATTGTTATTAGCTTGAAAAAATGTTCATGAAAACTCAAACATTTGCAGATTCCTGAAGCATTTGTAGAAGTTCTATTTCTAGCAACTCCCAGATGGGGGCTCGCTTCAATCCAGACCCCAAAGCCCTGGACCACCTGTTCCCGGCCAGTTGCCAGCGTTAGCTCTGGCCACTTTCCCACATTCTTTCTGTGCTCCAGTTTTTTAAAGATACTTGTAGTTTCCTGAACGGGCCGTCTTCGGACTCACCTGTCCTAGTCAGTTCCAGCTGCTATAATGAGGTACCACAGACCGTGAAGCTTGCAAACAGCAGAAATTTATTTCCCACAACTTCCCAGAGAGTCAGATAGGTGGACAGACAGAGAGATGTGTTTACTCCTTCTCCATCAGAGTGCTGCCAAACTCCAACCCCAAGGTGACAAATGGCAAAGTGGGGGAGGTGTATAGACCATTAAGCACAGAATGTCTTGGCATCAAGCCAGTATCAAGATGTCTGACTAGGACAGTGGTGGAGTCAGCAAGAAAAGAATCACAAAGTCTCAACTTAGGTTACGTGACACAGTGAGCACCTATACACCTTACTAACTCCACTTCTGCGGCCATTGTGAAGCACGTGAAGCAAATGTGAGCATTTAGGGGAATCAGAGAAGGCAGCTTTGGCCAGGAGCCCAGGCCCTAGAGTACTGATCTGCTACTGATTATCATGGACAAGCCCCCTTCCATGCATAAATGTGTCTCATCCTGTGGGGGTGTAGATCACTATGCTCATTTCATAGCACCTAACAGAGTGCCTGCACATAGTAGGTGCTCAATAAAGATTTGTTGAATAATGGAGTGAGGAAGGAACTGAGACCAGAGAGGTTAAATATTCAAGGTCAGGTCCATCTGACTCTGGAGTTCCAAAAGCAAGAAGGTTCCTGCCCTGCAGGTATGAGGGTGCCCTTCAGAGATGACCAGTCCCAGGACAATATGGCATTGTCTTAACGGTCAGCTCAGCTTTGTTGCTCTCTCCCTCCCTCTCTCCCCACCCCCCCACCTCCAGCGTGTTGATTCGGTCGGTAAAGATGGGCCGCGGATACTTCAGCATGCTGCAAGAGGAGAGTGCCTTGAAAAAGAAGCTACAGCAACTTCAGAAACTCAAAGAAGAAGAAAGACATAAATTCCAGCCAGCCAAAAAGATGTCAGAAATCCATTATGGCGAAATTCTTTTGACGTAAGTAGATGTGGCATCTGCAGTGCCGACAGTCTGGGGGAGGGCCATGCAGAGTGTAGCCGCCGGCTGGGCTGGGAGATGGTGGCTGTCTCTGACTGGAAGTCCCCTCTCTGGATGGCGTCTGACCATTTCTTTTAGTCTGCTCCAACCTACCTTGTCAGCCTCACCTCCTGGCACTCAGTGGAGTGTCTTCTACAACAGATGTCTGTCCTCATGTCTGATGCCAAGAGCTATATCCAAGAACTCTTGCTGGTCCCCAAATGTGCCTCTTTCCCTCTCTTTACCAGGCTTGCCCCTACCCCGAGGCCTCTCCTCACGCTGTTCCTTGGGCCTTAAATACCCTTCCCCACATCCTTTTCCAACTCAAGTTCTACTTATTAAAAGCCCAGGGTGAATGCTGCCCTCTCCTGATACTTCCTGGACTTCAGATCAAGCCCCTCCAAAACCCATTCAGACTCAGGGTTCCTGTAATGTGTTTGTGTGCTGGTTTACTATAACCCACATTAGTATCTCTCTTCTAGACCTTCAGCTGCATCCCTGAATCCTAGCTCTGGGTCCACCCAAAGCAGGTGCACAAGAAATATTTGTTGGTTTGTTGAATAAAGTAGCCCCCCTCTTTCTATAAAGGTCTTTCCTCTGATTGGAAGAAGACCATCAACAGATGGGTCCATTATGAAATGTCCATTCACATAACAGTAGCAATAGGGACGATGATAGTAACAACCACAACAATAATTATAATGAGTGTCTACTATGTGCTTTATGCACATCTTTTCATCTAAATTTCAAAACATTCCTTAGATTGGTACTGTTATTACCCACCCCCTTTTTAGAGATCAGGAATGAAGTTTAGAAAGTCTCACATAATTCCCTTGTGACTAAGGCATAAGTTAGAAAGCATTCCCTGAGTCCTGATCTGAGTGACACCAAAAGTTCTAGCCTGCACCATTCTGCATGGATAGACTCCTAGGACACTTAGAGTTGAATGAAGCACAAATCCGGCATGGAAAGGAGGTGCTGAGGCAGGTGGAGATGAAACATGGTAGAAATGGCCTACCCCTATAGCCATTGTCCTATTACAGCAGTGGTCTCAACCCTGGCTACACATTAGAATCGCCTGGGCAGTTTTCAAAATACCAATGCCCAGGGGAAGATGGCAGACTAGGAGGACCCAAAGCTCACCTCATCCCACGGATACAACTAAATAACACAAAATACTAATGCCCAGGGTACTTTCCAGGTCAACTACATCAGATTCTCTGGGGGTGTTCCCTGGATAGAGTATGTTTTAAAGTTCCCACAATGATTCCAGTGTGGAGCCAAGGTTGAGAGTCATTCTGCTAGGGCTTCAGGGATCCAAATTGCCAGGTTGCCAGCTACAAAGGAAAGGAACCCAGAGCAGATACCCCCTTTCCTCCGCAATATGTCCCAAATTCTGTTCTTCACAGTGTTAATATAGAGAAGTATTGATATGTGCTTTTTTCCTTTTTTAAAGATTTATTTATTTATTTTAGGGAGAGAGAGAGAGAGCATGAGCAAGAGGGGCAAAGGGAGAGGGAGAGAGAATCTCAAGCAGACCCTGTGCTGAGCATGGAGCCTGATGTGGGCCTCTATCCCAGGACCCTAGATCATGACCTGAGCTGAAACCAAGAGTTGGACGCTTAACCGGCTGTGCCACCCAGGCACCCCTCAATATGTGCTTCTTAAAAACAAGGGTCCTATCAGTGAAATCCTATAATGTGTGACCTTTCTGCATCTGGCTTCTTTCACTTACCAGAATGTTTTTGAGGTTTATTCCAGACAGAAAGCAGATTGGTGGCTGCCAGGGGTCAAGGGAGTGGGGGAGTGGGGAGTGACTGCTTAATGGGTAGGGGGCCTCCCTTGGGGGTGATGAAAATATTTTGGGACCACACTGAGTTGATGGTTGCACAACCATCAATTCAAATGCCATTGAACTGCACACTTTAAAACAGTTAATTTTATGTTATGTGAATTTCCACCTTAATTAAAAAAAAAGGGGGGTGTTCTGATCTGTGATGTCCTGGGGTGAGGATCAGGGGGCTGGACGCTAATGGTTGGGGATCTCCTTAAAGCTCAAGGTTCCAGGTGATGTTTGCAAATGCCAAGTGCAAGACCATGAGGGGCTGGTACATTTCTAGATACTCATCCCAGAAAGTGTGGCCCTTGGGAATCCCAGCTTATTATAAGAAGGGTCTTCTCTTTAACACCTCATTTGTGCAGACCCTGGGCTATGGTTTCTGTCCCTCTTGCCCTGTGTGCTATTTTAGAAGGAAAGTTAACTTTTTCTAAATTGGCAAGTGTCCTTAAGACCAGGGCAGCACCCATGCTAGCTTACCTCTGTGGTCTGGAGTTTCAGAAATGTGGTTTCATTTTGTCTGGAGATTCCCACTTTGTATCAGCAATTTGCTTTTTTTATTTTTATTTTTTCTATCTTGTCCAATGTTTGTGATTACTTTTACCCTAAGGGTCCATCTAAATAAGCTGGGCTGTCATTTATGCATTCATTTATTAACTCATTTATCCATTCTAAGATGAGAGAAAATATCTATGATTTACCATCCCCACTCCATGCTTTTTCAGGGGTGGGCATCCCAAGGAGAAGCCTGTTTTGGAGAGCCGGGGGTATTCAAAGGAATATGTAGATACAGAGAAAGAGCAGAAGTGCTTTACCTAAGAAGCAGAATGGAGACCTCCAGAACACTGGCCAAGAGTGTGAGCAGAAGGGACCCTTTGGGGGAGAGAAGAGAGAGAGTAGCCAGCACTGGGAGAGAACAGAGACATCTAATGGGGATTTTTATGAGGTTCTACCTCATAGCGTGAGGCGTAAATCCATTTCTCTGTTTCCCCACAAGATCTTCAGTGAGATATCAATGGCCCCTCCGTGTAATATAGTCTTAGACCTTCATCTTAGCCAGTTGCAAAGTAAGTTTGGGGGTGAGGAGGCTATGTTGCTCCAGGCCCCTTCTCACTGCACAACCAACCATTATTTATTGAAGACCTACTATGTGCAGGCCCTCTGGGGTAACTGAGATATGAAAAGGATTAAGGGACAGTCCCCACCACATACAGTAGGAACACAATAAAGCAACCCAAGGATGCCCACTGAAGTGGCCATAAATGTGCCTGTAAAGGAAAAACACTCCTGCTGTGTTTCTCCTTTACTCTGATGCCATGACCACACTCACACTTCTGACACCAGATGTGTGAGGTTTTCTCCCACACCAAGCAATTCTCCGAGACACCGGCGGGGCATCCTATCATCCAACTCAATTCTGACTCTATTGACCTGGAGGTAGCGTCAGATCCCACAGGTTAAGGGCTCAGTCCCACGAGACTGCTCCCCACTTCAGATGCCAACCACAACCCCCAGGTTGTCACCTGTACCTCTGACTGACTGGCTATAAATCAGGGTCCCCCTGATTTATACTCCTTGGGCTTAATCATTTTCTAGAGTGGTGCACAGAACCCAGGGAAACGCTAACTTACATTTGCCAGTTAATTATATAATAAAGGACACAGATGAACAGCCAGATGAAGAGGTAAATAGGGTGAGGTCAGGAGCTTCTGTCCCCATGGAGTTGGGGAGTGCCACCCTCCTGCTACATGGATATATTTACCAAGCCCAGAAGCTCTCTGAATCCCATATTTTGGGGATTTTTATGGCGGCTTCTCCGCATAGGCATGATCTAACATTAACTCAATTGCCAGTCCCTCTCCCCTTTCCTACAGAATGGCAAGTGGGGCTGAAAGTTCCAGGCTTCTACAGACAGTGTGGTCTTTCTGGTGGCCAGCCCCCATCCTGAAGCTATCCAGGAGCCCACCCAAGAGTTGCCTCCTTAGAGCAAAAGACATTCCTACCACGCAGGAAATTCCAAAGGATTTAGGAGTTCTGTGTCAAGAACCAGTCTAAGACCAAACATTAGAACAAAAGATGTTCCTAGTGCTATCACCACTTAGGAGACTACAAGGGTTTCAGGAGCTCTTTGCCAGAAGCCAGGGGCAGAGAACAGTAGATACCTTTTCTATTATTTCACTAATCCCCATCCCCTCAACGTTAGGGGGCAAAAAGAGAGTCTGGATAGAATCCCCAGAAGTGTGACGTTTGAGCAGGATTTTTAATGCTGAACAGAAAGAGGCGTGGTTAGACCCATCAGTATCAGCCCAGCAGAAATTCCTGTGGCCAGCATTTCTGGTTAGGAAGGCCAGAGCTAAAAGAGGAGGGTGTTGATGGTGTCATCTTTTGGAAACATGATTTTCAGAGTGAAAAGAAAGCAGACAAGTCATGACCTGACCCACCTGCATCTAGCCACTCAATGGGCCACCAATGAAGTCTGCTCATGGAATAAAGGCACATGATAGAGAGAAGGCCACTCGATGAGTAAGGCAGTTCTTACTCATTCCATGAGGGTTCCAAGAACTTAGTGCAAAGTCTGCCTTCCCTGAGCCTGGTGGTCCAGCTTAGAGCCCAGGACTCTTAGTGACACTAGCCAACTGGCAGGCTTTCCATGATACAAAGAGAAGGAATGAACTTGGGGCTCTTTCTTGCAGGAGCTGTGCTCAGATTACCGGGCAAACGGACAGGGGCTGGGAAAGGGGGAGAGACGTCTGTTAAAGATTCTCCTACAACTTTTTCAATAGTTCTGTTGCCACGTCTCCCTTGTTTGGATGGTATTTTACTCCATGGTCATAGAACACGATTTTCTCTTCTCCCATCCATGTTTCAATGTGTGAGACATGGTTTATTTAAAGTTTAATAAGCTTAAATATGCATGAGATCGTTCTTCTCATAGACATTGGTCTCCTTGTGTCTTACCTGGTGGATTCTAGGAGCTGCACAAGTCTGGCTATTAAAATAAAAATGTAGGCCATGACTCCTGTGTAGCCATCAAATGCAGGTGGGGAAGCAGGAGTTATAAAATAGCAATGGGAGATTCTCCATACCAGTACAGAATAGTGGTTAAGAGCACAGGACTTGGGTTCGAGTCCTGACTTGACCCAAACAACTGTTTAACTTTGGGCCAGTCACTGTACCTCTCTGAGCCTCCTTCACCCATATGAGTGGCACCAAACTCCCAGGTTTGTTATGAGGATCCAATGAAACAATGCTTAGTGCAGAGCCTGGCATACTAAACAAGAAGCCCTCAGTAACTATTAGCTATTATTATGCAATAAGGTGAATTTGATCTCTCTGGGCCTCGATTATCTAAAATCCTCAGATTTATGGCTAAAAATCTTCATTTCCAGGCAGGTTCGAAAGCATATTTCATCTAAGAGCCACATGCTATAAATATCATTCCAATCACAGAAGTATCAAAAAGACAAGTGTTAATTTAAAATACTTTTTTAACAAGGTATTTGATCTTGCGCATTATAAAAGCAAGAGGGATTATTCCCCGCCCCGCCCCCCACTGGCTCCAAGACCATAGGATAAATTTTTTCAGACAAAAGTTTTAAGTCTGACAAAGTAGGCAAAGGGAAAAAGAAAATCAAGCATGTCCCCAAAGATTTCTGCTTGCAAGCAGTCCTTCCCACTGTGCTCAATGACCTCATTTTTCAGTTGCAGATTTAGCCGAAAAGGTGAAAAAAACAAGGGGTAGAATTTTTCTTGTTATCTGGTTGAGGGAGGACAGAAAACCGGAGATTAAGGACTGGAACAGTTGGGTTAATTTCTGTGTAATCTAAACCACTGGGGGACACGGTTGGGCCAGTACAACTGGGCAAGCCCATGTATTTGCTTGTGGCTCCCTCAGCTCTAGGGTTGAATAAAGAGCTTGTGGAAATGGAAATCAGGGGGCCTAGATTCTGGTCCTATTTTTTAGTTAACTGTGACTGCAGGATTGTCCTGGAATTCTCAGGAGAAAGGTAAATTCCTAATGTGTGTCCCTACTCCGCCTTCTCTGCCCCCCTCGGCCTCATTCCCCACACAAAACCAGAGTGATCTTCTCAAGACATAAATTGCTTTCAGCTTAAAACCCTGGATGGCTGCCATTCCTCACAGGATAAAGACCAAAGTCTGAGCAGGGGCCACAAGACTCTGGATGGGCTAGTCCTCTCTTTCTCCCTCTGCCCCAGCTGCACACACACACTCCCCTACTTCTGCACTCATGATATGCCGCCACACCCCCCATCCCATTCACCTACTTAATTCCCATTCAAACCTACAGATTTTAGCTCAGTGTTTGTTCCAGTTACTGCTGCTATGAACAACCACTCCAAAACTTAAGAACTCAAGACAACAAACATTTATTTCGCTCACAAATCTGCAACTTGAGCTGGGTAAGTGGGGAAGACTGTCTCTAGCACTACTAGCTGGGGCAGCTTGAAGGGTCCATTTCCAACATGGCACATCCACATGGGTGGCCACTTGGAGCTGGCTGTCAGCTTGTGAGCTCAGCCAGGGCTGAGACCCAGCAGCCATGGTTCTTCGCCCTAGGGGCTTTTTCACAGGCTGCCAGCTTCCTCACAGCATGGCCATGGCTGGGTGCTAACAGTGAGCATCCCGAGACATGAGAAGGAGAAGCTGCCAGTTCGTGGAGCCTACGCCCAGAAACGGGCATCACATCAATTTCTTTTGATTAACACATTCTAATAGCTTAGCAACTCACAGAACCAAGATTCCAGGGGAAGGGCACATATGGCCATCTCTCTCTTGGAAGAGAGTCAAAGAACTTGGGGCATGTGGTTCTAAATTGCCACAACTTCCTCCAAGAAGTACTCCCTGGCCCCATTTCAGCCAAACTCCCTATTTTGTGCTATTGAGGAACCATACACTCTTCCACTCAGCCTCATCACAACTGCATGTTTGGTTATGCCCGTTTCTGCCCCTAGACTCTAAGCTTCAGAGGGGAGAGGCTGGGTCTGTCTCATTCATTGCTATATCCACCGCCTCCAGCCATCCAGAGATGTTCAATAAATCCAGGCAGAAATGAATGAACCAGGGAACCTGTCAATGAGTCAATCAATGAAGGTACTTAGACTGAGGCTCAGAAACTAAAAGGCCCTAAGGGAATTCACATGTAGCAGGAAGGAATAAGGCTGATGAGGAGTGAGAAGCCAGGGGTGCATGAGTCTCAGGCAACCTGCTGAGAAGCCCACACCACGTGTAAAGTGGGCAACGACCTTGATTTGGGCCCCACCTGACTCTAGCTAGCCAGAACACAGGCCCAGAGTGGCAACAGTTTTCGTTTTCAGAGCCAAAACCTCTCCATTTTTATGTGAAATCTCCCAGTTTTAAAATACAATTGATCCAATTACACACACAGTAGGCTTCTTAAAATGTGTCTGCAGGCTAGATTTGGTCATGGGCAAAACAATATATATCCTACGAGTCAGGCCTGCTAGAAAGAAAAAAAAAGAAACTATTTTCTATAACTGAAATGACTTGCTCCATGATGGTGGAGAAAAAAAAAAATCAATATGGTATTAAATGTAACTTACTCTGTTTCATTTTGAAACAGTCTTTTTCCGGTAAACGTCCAGTGGTTTCATAGATGAACTGCCTGTCTGGGCTATGTCTCCCTTCTCTAAGCAAGCCCCCTCCTCCCCTTTCCCAGATGGTGTCTGGCTTGGGAGGAAGCTTCCATATTCTCTATGGGGCAGAGCATGGGGCTCTGGTTTCCCATAGCAGCCTGCCTGGTGGCTGTGGAGGTATGACTGGTTGTGGCTGATCTTTGGGGACACGCCTTGTGCCCACTTCTAAAGTTTAAGACCCCCACATTTCATGGCTGATTCGGCCAGCCAATTAGTCAGCAGTCTGTAGAGTTGGATGAAGCCTCTTTAAGGAAAAGACGGGAGACAGGAACCACAAACTCCAGGCAGTTCCTTGGCTTTGGCTCATACCCTCATTGCTACTTTTCACTGTCCCCATGGCCAGGACCCCATGGCCAGGCTGAAGCCACCTTCCTCTCTCAGGCTGGAATTATTGCAATACCCCTAACAGGTCTCCTTGCCTCTGTCTTTGCCCTCCACCCCCACCACAGACCATTTTCTTTTCTTTTCTTTTCTTTTTTTTAAAGATTTTATTTATTTATTTGACAGAGAGAGACACAGCGAGAGAGGGAACACAAGCAGGGGGAGTGGGAGAGGGAGAAGCAGGCTTCCCGCTGAGCAGGGAGCCCGATGCGGGGCTCGATCCCCGGACCCTGGGATCATGACCTGAGCCGAAGGCAGCCGCTCAACGACTGAGCCACCCAGGCGCCCCCCAGACCATTTTCAAAACAGTGGCCAGAAGGATCCTTTCTGAATGCAAGTCAGACGCATCTTCTCTCAGCTCAAAATCCTTTACTCCCATTTAGAGAAAAGGCCCAAGTCCCCGTGGTGGTCTGCAAGGCCCCTGTTCTCTCCCTTCCCTCTTCCCCCTCACCTCCCGCTGTCTCTGAAACACAGCTCCACTTCAGGACATTTGTACCCACTGTTCCCTCTATCCAGAATGCGCTGCCCCAAGACATCTGTGTGCCTCACTCCCTTATACTCTGCAGATTTTTTATCAAATGTCACCTTTTCAGTGATACCGCCCCTCATCACCCTATTTAAAATTGCAACTCCCAGCCATCCCAGCCCTTCTGAACTCTCTCTGTTTGTTATTCCCCAGAGCATGTCTCACTATTTAGTACAGCAGGGTTAGCAAACTCCAGCCCATGGGCCATATCCAGCCCCTAGGCTGGTTTTATAAATAAAGTTTTATTGGAATACTTACATTTACATATTGTTTCCATATGTCCATGGCTGCTTTCATTCTACTAAGTAGTTGCGACATAGACTGCATGTCCGACAAAGTCATAAATATTTGTCTGGCCCTTTCAGAAAACATACCCCAGCCCTAATCTTTGTTAATATACCACAGCATTTCCCCGTTTATCTTGTTAATTCTCTTTGTTCCTCCACTAGAATATGCGCTCCATGAGAGCAGAGGTTTTTATATGATCTTTCCACTGGCTGCATCTAGAAGCCTCCTCATCCCTTGAGCCAGAATTATTGCCTGGAACATAGTAGGTGCCCAATCATATCTTCCAAATAAACCCTGGCAAGAGAAGAAGGTATTTGAAACTGCTGCTCCTTGGGGTGCCCGGGTGGCTCAGTCGGTTAAGCATCTGCCTTCGGCTCACGTCATGAGGGATAGAGACCCGCAGCATCAGGCTCCCTGCTCAGCGGGGAGTCTGCTTCTCCCTCTCCCTCTGCTCCTCCCCTGGTTCGTGTGCTTGCGCGCGCGCGCTCTCTCTCAAATAAATAAATTAAATTTAAAAAAAACAAGCCTGCTGCTCCTTGCTCACTCTGTTTCTCTCTTTCTCCTTCTCCTCCAGCACATACAATGACGAGAAGGTTAAGAAGATGGGCGCTGGAGTCATTCGCCCATTTACCCCCGTGCACAGCTGCATCATCTTGCCCTCGCTACCTGAGGCTCATGTGTAAGTAATCCCTCCTCTGGCTCGTCTGCCTTGCTAGCTTATCAACTGAAGCCAAGGTGAAATGACTCAAGGAGCTAACAATGCATTGGGAACTACTGAGCTGTTCCTTTGTCCTCCTGAAAGGGACATAGAGCCTGGAGCTGGCAACGCTATCTGGCATATAAAAATAACAGAAAGCAGACACGGTGCTTTAGAGCTAAGTGGCAAATCAGCTGGGACTGAGTCATTCCGTTCCTTACCAAGCCAGACGCTCTAATGTCAAATAGTTTGCAAAGCCTGATAAAATCCGTCTGCAGCCCTCACTGAGCGTGGGCATGTTTTGGGAAAAACATGTCCCCAAAACTCAAGGAGCTATTTCCCAGAGAAGCACCCGTTGTCTCCTGACCCGAGGCATGAACTCATCATTGCATGGTGTAACAGGGGCTAGTCAACCCTCCAAAGAACACTCTGGCTTTTCTAAAACCTTGGCATCTTGTTCCCCTTGTGTCTATTGCAAAGAATTCCCAACCCAATGTTTTCTTTTGTGCTAGTTAGCACTTTTCAACTGGAAGATTTCAGGCGCAAAGACAGAAGCTTTTGACTTTAGGGCAGGGTTTCTCAACCTCAACACTATTGACATTTGGGGATGAATAAATTTTTTGTTGTGAAGGACTGTCTTGTGTATTGTAAGGTGTTTGGAAGATCCCTGGCCTCTACCCACTAGATGCCAGTAGCTTCCCACCCCCAAGTTGTGACAACCAAAAATGTCTCCAGATGTTGACAAATGGCCCCTGGGGGCAAAATCATGCCCACCCGCTTCCCCCCACCTCCTGTTAAGACCCACTGCTTTAGGGCAATGAAAATGATGCAATGGATTGTAGACTTCTCTGTCTGCTGATCTGTCAAATATTTATTAGGTCCCTACAGTATGCACAATAGGAATGGCATTACTGGCATGACTTTACATGGCATGACTTCTCTGTAGGCATATCTCATTCAGTTCTCTCAGCAGCCCTATTATATAGATGTATTATTACCCGCCTCTGCAGATGAGAAAGCAGCAATCAGAGAGGTGTGCCCCTCTGCCCAAGGTCACGGAGCTCAGCATGTTGCTGCGCTGGGGTTTTAAGCCAAGTCTGTTTGACTTCACAGCCCAAACACTCATCACCACGCACTACACAGAAAGCATATCCCAAAGCCTTGCCTTTGAGGCGCTCGTGATGTATTTGGAAAGCCAAGTCTCATGTACTTGAAGAGTAAAACAATGCAGCAGCAGCAGCATCAATATCCCTCCCTAATATTCCAGCTTTTGATGAGCTCACTCCCTACTTTCCTCCTACTTCCCTTTGATTGACATTATGATTGGATTCTTGATAGAGATCGCCTGAACTCTTGATAGAGAAATCTGATTGATTTGTTCAGGGACATTCCAACTGGCAACCTAAACTTGATGTTCTTAAAACATCTCCTTGCAAAAATAGGCTTTGCAACTTCTCCTCATGTCCCTTGGAAACACTTGCACTTTTGCCTGCCTTTCCCGTGGACAAACCTTGTGAAACCAAACGGTGTAGATCAGTGGTTCTTAAGCCTTCACTTGCATGTGACTCCTCCGAGGACGGAAGTGGGGATGATGCCTGAAAAATGCTTATTCCTGGGCCCCACCCTCGATTCATTTGGTCTGAACAAGGTGAGGCTTAAATCAACCTCAGAAGTAACTGGGGAGTTTCTTACTCATGTACCTTCAATGCCAGATAAGGGAACTGAAGCCCAGAGGGGGGCAGAACCTGCCAAAATTCTTCCAACAGGAACTCTGACTTCCTCACTCCTAAATCAGATCTTTACACCAGGTTTGTGAGGTAGGCCAGGATGATGATGATGATGACGATGATGATCACAGTGGTTGTTTTTGGTTTCTGTTATACCCTAGACCAGGGGTCAGCAGACATTTTCCTAAAGGGACAGACAGTAAATATTTTAGACTTTGCAGACCAGATGGCCTCTCTTACAACTACTTAACTTTGCCGTTGCAGCATGAAAGCTGCAATGAATGGATGTGGCTGTGTTCCAATAAAGTTTTATTTGCAAACAGGCAGTAGCCCCCACTGGCTATAGCTTGCTAACGCTGCCCTTTCTTCTCCTTGTCTGTTAAAAGGCTCTGGCTGCATTTGGTGAGTGTATCAGTCATTTATTGCTGTATTACTGAATACCTCAAAATGGAGTTGCTTAAAACAATAACCATTTTTTGCTGCTCACAAGTCTACAGGCCAGCTGGGTGGTTCTGCTGGTCTGGGTTGGCTTGGCTAATCCTGGCTGGGTTGGTGCATGTATGTGTGCCCAGATGATGGGTATGCACAAGGCCAGCCATCTAGGGTGGCATCACTTACAGGTCTGTTAGTCGACTGGTTGCTAGGGTGACAAGAGTGACGGGGCCACGTGTTTCTCATCACGTAGCAGGCTAGCCCGGGCAGTTGGGAAGGGTTCCAAGAACAAGAGCCTGAGCACCAAAGTCTCTTGAGGCTTAGGCTCAGAATGGACACAATGAAGCTTCTACCACATTCTACTGGCCAAAGCATCAAGCCAGCCCAGATACAAGGAATGGGGAAAAGATTCCACCTCTTGATGGGGAAGATGCAGAGTCACATTGCAAAGTGTATGGATGCAGGAAAGGACATTTTTGTGATCAGTCTACCAAAAGGCATCAGGGCAGGGCATGCCTGATCAGTTCTCAAATCCTCAGTTATCACATCAGCCCATGTGGATCAGAGCCTGGTTGGTCCCTTCACTCCAAGGTAACTGAGCCTCAAACTGGTTGAATATTCTGGATTGACCATATGGGGATCAATTCAATCATGTCAAGGGAGACTTGATCTTCATCTATAAAAAGGTGGGGGGATGGTCTTTAGACATGAGAAACAGCTCCTCCTTTCCTCTCTGAGATGACAGGCTGCCCCTCCCAGCCTTCCCTAAGCAACGGAACAGCAGGAGCAGTGCCTGCAACCTGTCCAGGGCTGTCCTTGGCAGTTGGCATGGGGTGCTTGAAATGGCTTTGGAGGCATTTTCCAACTTCTCTTTGTAAAAGCACAAAATGTTTTCTTCTTGGGGAATTTTTCGCCCACTCGTATTCTGGCTGGTATGGCAGTTTCAATAGAGTGGGCTATTCAGGTGTGCTCACCTGGAGTTCTGGATGCAAGGATAAATGCCCTCTCTTTTAATTTGGTAAAACCCAAAATACTGTGCTATGACCTGACATACAATCATTATTTAGAAAGTACTGATTTCTGTCAAGCATGTCTCCAGGGATTTTCTTTCTTTCTTTTTTTTTTTCTTCCTCCAGTTTATTTTGCTGCACATTAGATGAACAATTGTCAGGTTTGAGGCACTTCTTTTTTTTTTTTTTTTTTTTTTAGAACAGTCTTAGGTTCAGAGCAAAAGTGTGTAGAAGATGCAGAAATTCCCATTACAACCCCTGCCCCATCTGTGCTCAGCCTCCCCCATTAATCAACATCCCCACCAGAGGGGTGTGGTTGTTACAAAAAGTGAATCTACATTGACAACATCATTGGCCAAAGTCCATAGTTTACATCAGGACTCACTCGGAGCTGTGCGTTCTGTTGGTTTGGACAGATGTATAAGGGCATGCATCCACCATCACAGTGCGATACAGAGTATTCTCACGGCCCTAAAAACCCTCTATGCTCCACCTGTTCATCCCTCCCTCCCCACACGACCTTAGCAACCACCGACCTTTTTACCATCTCCATAGTTTTGTCTTTTTAAGAATGTCGCACAGTCAGAATCACATATTATGTAGCCTTTTCAGGTTGGCTTCTTTCACTTAGTCATATGCATTTCGGGTTCCTCCATGTCTTTTCATGGCTTGATAGCTCATTTCTTGTTAGCACTGAATATTCTATTGTCTGGGTGTATGTACCACAGATTATTTATCCCTCCACCTACTAAAGGACATCTTGGCTATTTCCAAGTTTTGGCAATTATGAATAAAGCTGCTATATATAAGCACCTTGTGCAGGTTTTTGTGAGGCACTTCTTATAAATAGAGAATAAAGTCCAGACCCATTGGACGAAACCCTATTCTAGTGCAAAGGGAGGGCTCTCCCTGGTAACAAGAGACAACTTCAATACCACAGATAAAGCACAGATTCAGAAACCAGACTGCCTGGGCTAAGATTCAAGCTCTGCCATTTGCTGGCTCTTTTGAATTTGGACAAGTTACATGGCCTCAGTTTCCTTATCTGCAAAATGGAGATATCAGTAGTACTTTCCTCACAGGGATGACCTTAGTCAACATATGTAGAGCACTTAACACAGAGTCTGCTGGCGCAGTGTAAATGCTCCGTGGGACGTGTTTGCTATTATTATTTTGTTGTTGTTAACTACTCTTCATTATCTCAGTGGTTCTGCAAATGAGAATTTTGCCCAAGTTATCAGCTCCAGAAAATGTCAGATTTGAACCAGTTCACTACCACCACCTTCCATTCAGGAGCCAGTAATATACTGAGCGTACTCTGTGCCCAGCAGTAACCTGCAGTGGGCAAGACTCTGTAGCTTGCAGGCTTGTGGGCTAGAGAGACAAGTAAACAGGTATTTACAATAGAGCAGGGACCGGGAATGTAGGGGCAAAGAGATATGCTATAAAGATGGGATGCTTTAGGATGCTGAAAGAGATCCTAACCCAGACCTGGAGAAATCAAGGAAGGCTTCCTGGTGGAGGTGACATCTGAGCTGAGAGGCAGAGAAGGAGGAGGAAGAGGAATATATATATCAGAGCAGAGAACAGTGCCAACCACCTCTTCTCACCCTCACTCTAACAATTCCTGCCATTTTATAGATGAGGAAAGTGAGGCTCGGGGAAGTTAAGTCATTTAGCCAAGAGCACATAGCTAGTAGGTGGCAAAGCTTGGATTTTAACTTAGGCAGTGCAAAGTGAGAGTGGGGTGAGCCTGAGCAACCGAGTAGAGCTTGCCCAGGCTGCAGAAGAGGGGCCATGGGGAGACTCAAGGCTGGTGAGGTGGACAGGACTCTCACAGGTGACAGTCTGTTAGTTTCCCAGGGCTGCCATATCAAAATGCTTCAACAGGAGAAGTACATTTTCTCATTGTTCCTGAGGCTGGAAGTCCAAGATCAAGATGTCAGCAGGAAAAAAAATGTCAGCAGGGTTGGTTTCTTCTGAGGCCTCCTTCTGCCTGAGTCTTCACATGGTCTTTCCTTCCAGCATGTGCATCACTGGTGTCTCTCTGTGTGTCCAGATTTCCTCTTCTCAAAAGGAACACCAGTCAGACCAGATTAGGGCCCGCCCTAGTCAGGGCGTCATTTTAATACAATCACCACTTCAAAGCCCTTATCTCCAAATATCGGTTCATTCTGAGGTCCTGGGGGGTGAGGACTTCCACATCTGAATTTTGAGGGCGACACAATTTAGCCCAAAACAGATGGTGTGGAGAGTTTGAAGATTTTAAGCAAGGGAGGGATACAGTCAGGTTTATGCCTGAGCTTGTCACCTGTAGAAATGAATCTGATGCTCACATGCCCCACATCCCCATCCCCACCATGACCAAGCAGACCCCACCTCACCAATTAACCCTCTTTGCTTATCCCTTCCTCCCAGCCTCCACCCCACACAACCCACAGCCCAGGCTGACAGGGGCTCTCCACGGTGACCAGAAGAGGGGACATGTCCCTGGGCCTTTTGCAATGTCCTGGGTTATGGTGAGGGTAACGTGGGGTGCCAGGCACAATGGCAGGAACTAGCTGTTGCTCTTGGCGAAACGCTGGACATGGCCCAGTGCTCAGAGCTGCTGAAATGCACCTGTAAGGACCGAGGTGGTGCTAAGGGGGAAGGCAGACCAGAATGTGAAGGGCTATGGGCTTGCAGTACCTTTAAATTAAAAATGAGGGAAGAGGAGGTGTTAGTAAGTAATGCGTGGAAAGAAAGGAGGAAGGAAGGGCTCCAGTGCAGAAGAAAGAGAGAGCTGATGACCCTGGTTTTCCTAAGACCCAATGGGCATGGCCAGCCTGGAGCGGAGTGAGGGGTGGGGTAGTAGGGGAAGCTCTGCTTCAAGCTGAGAAAAAGGGACGCCTCTCAAGGGATTCACCAGGACAAACCTGGGGTCAGCTCCACACTTGGGCTCCACCTTCTGGAGTGGGGCCTTCCTGGAAGCAGAGAGGGTGGATCCCTTCCTGCCCCTCCGCACATCAGACCCAGGAACTCTAGGGATTATTGATCAAGATCAACTTCAGAGAAGAGCAATTACACAGGTTCATAATGGAGGCATTTCACCCATTAGTGTAAGAGGAGAGATCATGCAGGGAGGGGGTGGCCGGTCAGGACTCCACCTTGTTTCCAGGAAAAATGCAGGCAGCAGGTTAACCCTCTCTTGGCCCCACGCCCCAGGTGACCACTGCATCGCCTTCATCAGTACCTCAGACAGAGCTGGGGCCCATGAAAGCACAGCTTCTGGGGTTAAACAGGGCTTCAGATCCTCACCAATCCTAGGAATGTGACCTTGAGCAACTTCCCTACCTAAGTCCCTCGCCTGCAAAGAGGGCATAGTAACAGTACCCTTCCTATAGGATTGGTGGGAGCATTGAATGAGATATTCAGATCCTACCTCCATCACCAACAAGCTGTGTGACCTACTGCAAAGTGACAGTATCTTTCTGAGCCTTAAGTTTCCTCTTCTTTAAAATGTGGATAATGATTCATACCCCTGCAGGTTGTTGGGAGAATTAAATAAAGTGTGTAAGGTGCCCTACTCAATGTCTGGCTCCCTATAATACAAGATGCCACCCCAAATCAGAAAATACAGGTTAGATATGCTTTTTTACAGTGTTTTAGTTACATTTTCAAATAACAGGTTCAATGTGGTTTTCTTCAACATCCAGCTATATTTGCAGGTAAAGGACCTATAAATTTAAAACAATGGATCCAACTGTTGGTCTGGGGGTAGGAGGAAGACTACAATGAATCCAGTTTCCTTGTGTGTCCAGCCTTCTTTGACACTTTTAGCGTATTTATTGTACTTTCATCAGATGAACAGGTAGGTACCTGCAGGATATGAATGTCCTTTAACCCACTCACTTTGCCTAAGTCAAGACCTCTAGCTGGTGGACCCCTCCATTGTTTCTCCTCTCCTACACAGAACCACCCCCGCCCCGGCCATGACCAGCATAGGGTGGTCTCGCATCAAATCATGGCTCTGCCACCTGCTAGGTCAGTAAACTGGCACACGTTCCTTCACTCCCCTGAGCCTCAGATTCCTCATCGGTAACATAGGCCCATGAATACCTCATGGGTACATTGCAAAGACTTGATGAGATGAGGAACAGGAAATACCACACCTGGAGCATGGCAACATCTCTCTAACTGCAAGCCAGCAGTTCACAATCTCTGTGGCCATTATTGTAAAGGACGTAGTTCCAACAGGATCCCACTGTGCTCCCCCTTCCCACCTCTGTCTTTGCAGGGAGCCCCTCTTCCGCCAGCTCTGTGCCCTCCACTGGCTCCTGGAGGCCCTGACTATCGACCACACCCACCACATCATGAAGCCCGTGATCACCTGCTGGAATCCAAAGTAGGTCTGAGCCCTTCAACCCACTGTAACTAGCAGCACACTCTGCCATAGGGGAGGGCCTCTTATCTGCTCTTCCCCTCCTTTTGCTGTTTTTGGTGGGTGGGTTGCTTTAGGAGTTCCCCGATGTGCTCTGTGGGATCCAGAAGGGGTGAGCTCGGAGCCAGGGCATACAGGTCATACAGGCTCATGAGAGCCAACGGTGTGCATCTCCTCCCAGCAATTCTCCCCAGCTCCACATCCACTGACATCCCATTGGATGCTTGGAATCAACCAGCCACGATGGGAGTATTGACACCACAGGAACGGGCCAGGTAGACCAGCACACCGCTGGATGCCCAGCGAGGTTTCTGCCCAGCTCCCTTCTTGGACCTCTCCCCAACACTATTCTTTATCTGCTCCTCTTCCTCTTCCTCCTCCCACTTCCTTGTCCTCTTCTCTTTCACTTTGTTCTTGCTTTTCTTCTTTTTCCCAAGGTTTATTTGTTTGTTTGAACATATATTGGTGGCTGTTTCTCCACTTGGACCCAAGAGAGGACTCAGTGCTCAGGTCCCTGGGGCAGCTGGGCCGAAGCTCTAGTGCATGCTGTCTAGGCCAAGAAGAGTGTTATGTGTGTCCTCACCAGAGGGGAGGGTTCATGCAAAAGCCCTGAGGCCACTGCTGCAGGAGCTGCACTGCCCACACAGGGGCGGAATGAGGAACAGGCAGGCATATAAGGCCTTGGTTCTTTATGGAGAGTCCTGCTGCCCCCAAGAATGGTGCTAAAGGGGAAGGGACCCTGACCTGAGGAACTGGAGTTGCTCTGTGAAAATCCCACGCTGAATGAAGTAAAATAGTTCCCCTTCTCCCATAAGTGGGAACCCCCACAACTCCCTCCCCAATAAACTGATAATGGCCTCTTTCTCACAGCCCCACCCACCCCCCAGGTGAATTCAGTCTTCCTTTTCTTCCTGAATCTTAATTAATTCCTTCTTCCTGAGGGTGTTTACCACCCACCTCCCAAACCCCACCCTACCCCCTGCTCTAATTCATCCCTTGCACCAGAGCCCAGATAAACTAACATCAAATGCAACCAGAAATATAAATCCTGCATCTACTGATAGACTAGTAACTCCAACTGATTTCATGTTTTGGGTTGGGATGAAGTGAAAATTGTAGTTTCCCTTGGTGCTCTGGTTTATAACCTTTATTTTTTTTTTTAAGCAGCAGAAATCCTTTTTTTTTTTTAATGGAAACCCCAATAATGTAAAACAAATTTGTTAAAATGTAGCTTCTACACAAAGCAGGAAGTTGGGAGGCCTGGAGAACCTGGGGCACCTCCAACTCTCTCCCATCCCCACCAAGACACCCCAGTTATTTCCAAAATATTTCTGTGGTTCACAGAATTTGTTTGAAAACCACAACCTTAAGACATTTCCCATACCTCACTTATTCTTCTTAGAGGAAGCCCCTTTTAAAGGTCTGAGGTATGACCTTCCTCCTTCCAGACCTAATGCTTTCCCCTTATGAATATATATAGATATACTGCCCCCACTTTTTTTTTTAACAGAATTGGGATCATATTCTGAATATTGTTCTGTACATTTTTCTACTTTTCCCCCTTTAAAAATATCTTATGGGGGTACCTGGGTAGCTGAGTCAGTTAAGCGTCTGGCTCTTGATTTTGGCTCAGGTCATGATCTCAGGGTTGTGAGACTGAGCCCCACATAGGACTCCACACTCAACAGGGAGTCTGCTTAAGATTCTCTCTCTCCCTCTGCCCCTCCTCCCATTCTCTCTCTCTCTCTCTTAAATAAATAAATAAATCTTTAAAAATAAGATAAAATATCTTATGGACATCTTTCCATGATGGTACATATGAAGTTTCTATGTTCTTTTTGACAGTTTCCACCATCCTTTAACAGAATACATTCCCTCAGAAAGAAATGGTTATCCATGGTCTATGGTAGGGGTGGACCATAATTTAGATAACTATTTCTCTACTGGGGCACACTAAGGTTGTTCCCAAGTGTTTGCCATTTCAAGTAGTATTGCACAGAACATCCTTGTACATACATTTTGTACCCAGTTGAAAATATCTCTGTTGGCTAGATTCTGAGAAATGGAATTTTTAGGTCAAGGCAACATCTATTTTTTTTTTTCACAGTTGATTGCTTAGATTCTAAGAAAAAAGTCCCTCAGCCAGTGGACTTCTAATAGCATTTCATCTCCCCGAGCTCCCAGCAGCAACACTTTGCCTCCAACATTTGGCATCCATTCTCCCAAACTGAGGCAAGAATATAATGTAGGATTTGGATTGAGAAGATAAAAAGAAGCATCTTTATTTCTTTAGGTTGGTTTTAGAAATGTGCCCAGAATGTGACCAAAAACTGTTACCTGTGGTTAAAAAAAAAAAAAGACACATGGTCACATTGAGAGTAGTGGAGTTCATCAGGGATCCATGGATATCCAGCTCTATCAGAGCAGAACATGAACCAGAACCTCAGTCTGACAGAAAAATGCATCCAGAAAGATTCCCATGGGAAGTCAGAGTATTTGCTGGGGCTTGTTTTTTCTAGTGAACCATGTGATTTTAGTTTGGTGGTATGCTGGTAAATGTGTAATAAATGTTTAATAAACAGAACAGTTCTCCAAGAAGGAAAAGCCATGACGTATAACAATGCCAATTTCCATGGTGGACATAATCCAGCCATGGCTGATTTCAGGCTTACCAGCATGAACCTGGGGCTGGGGACAGATGCACACGTTCAGTTCTTGTGAGCCAGCATAAGCTAACTCCAGCACACCATTCTGGGGGATTGATTTTTTTTTTTAAATATATAAATCTGAGGGTGGGGGTTGGGCAGGGGCTTAGGTTTCCTAGAAAGTGCCAGAAAACATCTTTTTATTTAGCAAGAAAGGAGAAGGATGTCTTGTCTTTAATGCCTAATCCCTGTTTATGATGTTTCATCCTGATATCGTAATTCAAATGTCTGTAAATCTTCAAATGTATTTTTTAAAAGCCCAGAGGAATTGAAAATGAGTAGAGCAAGGGCTCTAGCATCAGATGGACCTGGATGAGTCCAGGCTCAGCCACTTGATAGCTATGTGACCTTGGTCACTTAACATCTCTGGGCCTCTGTTTCTTCATCTATCAAATGGGCTCCTGCCTCAGAAGAGTTATTGTAAGCATCAAGAAGATAAAGAACATAGAGCATTTAGCCCAGTGCCTGAGAGCACTGTGAGGGCTCACTGAACGATAGCTATTTAAGATTAAAATCCCCATTTCAAAAAGCAGTTGGCTCTTTGATTATCAATACCATTGAGACTTAAGGCAAGGAAAGAAAGAAACTTCTGAGCAGAGTTTTACCAACAGATGAGATCCATATTCACTGGGAGGATGAACAAACATACAAACAGACAGGAAAAAAGCTAAGCAAGGTCAACCAAGATCTGGTTGCAAAGATAAGCAATCCAGGGAATGACCCCGACAGAGAAATACCAAACTTCCAGTTTTGCTTTTCTGAGTTTCCACCATCAAGGAGCCAGCATCTCTTGCTATTCAAGCATCTGAAACACAAACCCTGAGCCCCAACACCCACCATGCATTTTCCAAAAGGAAACATCCATCATCGGGGACCTGTAGATCCCAGAGGTTTCTCTTCTATTAGGCATGATGATGGCTGCAGATCCAACCCCGCCCCCTTATGGATTTTATAGCAAGAAAGTGGGGTGGTTCAATATCTCAACACGGGCTTTCTACAGTCAGCCAAATTTTACTAACTGACGGCTAGTGTGCCGCAAGCAGAAGGTTATCTTTGTTAATTGCAGGATGATCCTATATTTAGCTAGTACTGGTGGATGGTTGGGTGAATGGGCAGATGACAGATTTTAGGATGTCATTAAGAGTTTCGTCTGAGTCTGTGCCTTATTTGGGGAGGATAACAGGCCTTCTCAAATTCACCACATGGCAATCCGAACACATTATCATTTCCCAGCATCCTTATTAATCCCATGGCTAGCAGGGAGAATTTATTTCAATTGACAAGATGATTGGGTCCACGAGAGAGCAGAAACTGAGCTTTCAATAACAAATGTGCTAATTGCCCTTCTCTGAGAGATGCAAGCCTCTGTTTCAGCGAAGTAAGACTTATTTTATATATAAAGGTACCCAAGTCTTTATCTGAAACTTTGGGGCCACCTGAGTTTCAAAATTGCTTTTTTTTTCTTTCTTTCTTGGCATTTTAAAAACGAAATATGGGGCATATGCTATAGAAAACATCACACCCCCAGAGGGGACTGGGGCAGCAGACTATCATCCAACACAGTATTTCCACAGGGAAAAAAAATGAATATTTACACTAAGTGCATAATAAAGATAAATAAAAGTCATTGGTAGCCTCCCATCAGTTCAGGTCATGTTTTGCTGCCAAATCAGTTATTAAACTTTTTCTGGTTTTTCAACACCCTTTAGATTTTAGAATTGGATAAGGGGTTATGAACTTATATTGGTATTGGGTTTTTTTTTAGAGATTAACTTTCCAAGGAATGACTAGAAATGAATGACAAGAGAAGCAGACAAGATGAGGTGTAAGCAAGCACCTCTCCACCCCAATTCCACTTACCCCCAGCCCTGCCGTCACCTTCCCTAGTTCCCATTGGAAAGAACCAGGCAGACCCCTGGCTAGGCAGGAGAGTAAGGAGCTCCTGATTTACCTTCCAGGCAAGGAATAGCATACTCCACGGGGCAAAGGTGTGAGGAGTTGTCCCCTGGGCAGCACAATCATCTATGTCCTATTGCCTAGGGCTGTCCCAGAGAGACATCACCACACCCACTCTTAATTGGGGAGTCCAGGTGGGTATAATCCTGGCTTTCATTAAGGGAGTCCAGACACCCAAGGTCCGGGCTGTCCAGGCACAATGAAACTGCTATTCCTTTAGAAAAACATGTATGGCTAAAAGGCAACCACACTCTGACATTCCACATAGGACACAGGCACCTAAATCTAACTACTGTATTATGATGAAAATAGCTGGCCTATGAATGCTTCCCATGTCAAGCACTGCTCTGAGTATATTACTTCAGTTGAGCCTCATTCTAACGGAAGAGGAACCTGAGGCACAGAAAACTTAAGTAACTTGCTCAAAATTGCATAGCTTGTAAAAGCTAAGTCAGGATTGGAATTCAGGTAGCCCAGCTGCAAAGCGTATGTGCTTAACCACTAAATGATGGTTTCTTCTGTCCCCAGCGAAAGCCCAAAAGTCTTCAATTAATTTAGGGTACTATGTGGTGTCCAAAAATGAAAAGAATAACTCATCACAAAGTATTGTTTGCCAGGCGACCTCAGGATACAAAAGGGACTGCAACTTACCAAGATAATGATATGTGCATATACAATTTTCTCTTAAAAAGCAACAAAAAAAGGCCACTCTATACTTAGGGCTTTGGTATTTAACTTAATATATGGGAACCAAGTCTCCATTTTGAAACCTCTTTCAATGACTACGGAGTGTCTCACCATATTTAACCAATTCCTGTAAGAACTTTTAATTTGCCAGATTGCCAATCTTCTGGGGGAAAAATGCAGCATCACTCCGAACAACACGCAAAATAGCAATTATTATATTGAAGTTTTTTTTTTTCCTCTGTCACATGTGCCCCCCACCTCGGAAACGCTCATTTTCCTCAAACCTGCTTTTTTCAGGCACTACTGGGGATACAGCAGTGAAGGGACAGACAACATCCCTATTCTCTGGAGCTTCTGTTCTAGGGGACATGGGGAGAGCAGCAGATAATAAACATGCAGTCATCAAGATGCTTTGAGGTAGCATCAAGCGTCATGAAGAAATTGATGGGGTGATGCGACAGTGGCAGGTGGGCGGTGACTTTTAAATTGGGTCATCCGGGAAAGACTCACTCAGGAGGTGACATTTGAGTGAAATCTCTGATTCCACCTGCTCTCCTCTCTGCACTGATTTAATTGCATCGTGCCTCCACTGCTTTACTCAAGAGGACATCTCTGCAGGAGTAGGGGACCGTGGCAGGATGATCGGAGCACCTGTCACGAGGGAGGCAACCCGCCTGGGAGATCCTGGGAGCTCTGGTCTCTGTCCCCTCCCTGGTGCACCATCAGCGGCTGCCTCTGTCCTCCAAACTCGGTCATGGACACATGAATGCATTCTAAACCAGCCAACAGACTTTCCACTCTGAGAAGCAGGTGTTTTACCCCAAATGAGGGTTCACAAAGAGAGAGAGGGAAGTATTGGAGAAAACAACTCTGATTGCTACTGTGGAGAGACATTTCAAGTGACTCGCCAGGAACAACATGTGCTTGGCGGGTACAGTTAAATGAGATGCGACTGTGCTCAACGCTTTTGTCCCTTGACTTCTAGCAAATAGGACCCCCCGGCCAAAACCTTCAGCAGGGGTAAAATTATGGTCTGAAAATCGTAGCCACTCCTCCCCCACGGATCTGTCCTACGGCCTCGTTCCCCACCATCAGCCCCTCCTCCAAGCCACCCTAAGCTGTCGAAAAAAGCACGCTGTTAATAGTTTGTGTTCAGTTCTCTGTACGAGGCACCCCGCCAAACCCTTAACAAGCCCCACCCCATCCTCACACCAAGCCTCTGACGTAGCTAATATTATTCCCTCCATTTTACAGATGAGAACACTGAGGCTCTGAGAGGCAAAGTAACTTACACAGACACACACCCAGGAAACAGCAGGACAGGCACAGGACTCGAACATCCAGTCCACCTGATTCTTAAACCCACTGTTCACCACCAACATACACTACTTTCCTGGTTCTCTTGCTCAGAGAGACTTGCCTGAGGTCACGCAAACAGTGTGTCAGGGACATCAATTAGGTAAACTAAACTGCCGATCTGAACAACACGAAAATCTTAGCAGCTTAACGCATCCCAGGTTCATTTCCTGCTCACCCTACCGGTCATCAACACGGCGCTGTGCTCATTACGGTCATTGAGGACCCAGGCTGATAGGAGCTCTGTCTCAAGGCAAGCTTCCACCATCAACAGCCCAGAGAAGGGAACCTGCCTTGAGGGCTGGCCCTTCAAGCTACCACCCTCAATGCCACATGTCACTTTCACTCATGCATTCTTATTTTTTTTCTAAAGATTTTCTTTATTTATTTGACACAGAGAGAGAGACACACAACGAGAGAGGGAGCACAAGCAGGGGGAGAGGGAGAAGCAGGCTTAGAGAGAGACACAGCGAGGGAGGGAACACAAGCAGGGGGGAGTGGGAGAGGGAGAAGCAGACTCCCCACCGAGCAGGGAGCCCGATGCGGGGCTCGATCCCAGGACCCCGGGATCACGACCCGAGCCAAAGGCAGACACCCAGCAACTGAACCACCCCAGGCGCCCCATCACTCGTGCATTTTTAAACAAAGCAAGTCACAGGGCTACTCCTGACAGAAAAGGAGCCCGAAAGACTCGGGACTACTCATTAAACAGCACTACTGACTATCCCACCAAGCCCTGGGGAGGAGTGTCCCCTTGCCGTGTCCATCTCGGACAAGGTGCACTGAGCCCCCTGTGGACAAAGAAACCCGGGTGGTTTCTTTCTTTTCCTGCCCTATCTGAGCTTCCTTTTTGGTTTATTTGCTCCCGAGAATGAAACATCACAGAGACCGATTCTGTCTAACCAGGCCCTTTCTTTATCAGTGGCTTTGCATGAGCAAGGGTGCAGGGCGTTTTTAAGATCTCGGGAGCCTTGCTGTATTTTTAGCTCATTTACCTGCTGCCTCAAGTCCGCAATGGATTTTGGGAGTCAGTGTTAACAGAAAACCTCTATCTTCCTGATCGGGCTTGAATATTTAAGATTTTGAAAGCTTGGCTGGGGCCCGATTTAATTTTAAAAGGGGAAGAGGGTTGCTTTTGAACTTCAAGAAGGAGGCTAGAGGCACAGCAGGAGCTGTGTGAGCAAAGGGAAGAAGCCGAAAAGCCCTGTGGTCTTGAAAGAAATGCTCCAAAGCAGAACCACGAAAGCTTTCAGTTGGTGAGCCTTAAATCAGACTTCAAAAGCGCCTCTAGTTTAAATATTGTTTATAGGACTGGTGTATTGCTATTCCTTCCTCTGGCTGGATTTTAAATATTCCCTAATTTGATTACTCGGGGGAGAAGCAGGCAGAACCAATGTTAAATGAGCTTCACTGTTAATTATTCATTGGGCTTTTTATTGTGTCATCAAACATAAAGTCTTACAAAAAGCTTGGAGGCACATTCTCACACCGCCCTCCCCAGCCTGACTTGCACTTTGCTGCCTGTGTGCGTTGCTCATGTTGTGGCTGTGGGCTGGTAGATGCTCAGCAAAGTCCTGCCGTCCAAGAGTGCACACCCCCCTCCACATCTGGGCTGGCCAAAGCCTCTGATTCTGCTACCTAGAGCCCTGTGCCATGAGAAACCAGTCTTAGGCAAGTTTGAGCTTGATCACATTTTACCTCCTATATCTGAGCATCTCCCACCCCCTCACCAGCCCTCAGCAGCCCCTGGTAAGTCTAGACCCCTGTCAACGCCTCCCCTCATGAGTCTGGTCTGGCCATCTCATTCCCTCAAGCCCCTGCTCTGTGCTAAGTGACAGCCAGCCAAATGATTTTAAGGATCCCAGCCATCCAAAATCCTTTCTGCAGAGAAAAAGGAGATAAAGGGATGGATGGATGGATCAATTGAAAGAGCCCGATCAGGAAGATAGAGGTTTTCTGTTAACACTGACTTCCCAACCTGAGCCTTCCCACTTGCTTATCAACAGAGATCCACTGCCTTGTAGCCCCAAGTCCAAAATCCAAAAGGCTCTGAAAACTCAATTTTTCCATAGCTCATTTGGCAGCAAAACTTGACATGAACCAAACTGATCTGGTAGCATAATTTGACCTGAAGCTGTTTACAATCTTTATACCACCTAGCGTAAATATTCATATATACCAATGTGTTTGGTTACAGGATGCTGCCCTCTGACCCCACTGTAAGGATTATGTTAACGTATGATATATGCACCATATATCCTTCCCAAAATGTCAACAGAGCAACACATCTGGTCCCACGGGTTTCAGATGAGGGATTATAGGCATGTCACCAACAAAACCTGCTGGAGGTTCAGTCTCATACCGAGAAAGTTCCCGAACCCAGGAGGGGAGGATCCAGGAATTAGGGTATCTAAAGTTTAATTAAACTGGGGGAGATAGGTGCTTTAAGAAAAAGAATATAAAATTACAACAGAAAATGAGGTACAGGGCTCCAGAAGACCCCATTCAAGTGAGGGTCATCAGTTCCACTATAAATCTGTACCTGGATGAGTGACTTGAGCCCACCCCCCGCCCAGTTTGTTTTCTCACCTGTAAAATGGAATGACAATATCACAAGGTTTTACTGAAATGATTCAGTGAGAATGCACAAAAGCATCTTGCATGTAGCACTGTATAGACTTTTGCTCAATATACTCCAAACCAGTGATTTTCATTGTGCAACCTGCCCCACAAGCTCTCCCCAGTACCTCCCCCCACCAAGTAATCCTCTTTCTGTGTTACTTGGGAGTGTCCCTCATGGTGGGGTTGGTAGGAACCAGAGCAGGCAGAGATTCAGAAATAAACATGCCTTTCAGCTTACTCCCAGGAGTAACTGCCCTGGAGTCTAAGAGAGGACCCAAGTCTAAAAGGCAGATAGATGCAGAACGCATACAAATATATTCCGCCTGCCCCCGCCCCCCACCTTGTAAGCAGTGGTCTCTCCTAACCTCAATTTTCACTGACAAGACCTAGCTATGGAGAACTACCCCACTCATTTCTTGATGCACACAGGGGGCAGGGGGAAAAACCATCACAGAGAACGGCCGCCATCCATCATCTATTTATTGCATTTCCTAAAAGAACTTGTAGTAAACCAAGGCTCTGGGAATGGAAAACTCATTAAGCTGTTTCTCACTCAGGGACCCGGGTGGAAGCAAGAGCACAATAAAGAAAATCAATAAGGACAAGTCCATGGGACAGAGGTGGGAGCACTTTGTCACGGCGCCGAAGGTAACTATCAGCACCCGACGCTACAGTCTGGCTATTGGCCCCAACCTGGGCCGGAGGCGTTTCTGCTGGTCTTTTCTCTGATGGGAATTTTTTTTTTTTTCTAGTTGGTTCTCTGAGTGAGGAGAAGTCAGAACCACATGCTGTTGGATGGTTTTTGTAAATTTTAATTAACATGGTTATCTGGGGGATTATAGGAGAAATGACATTTGGCTGGACACCACTTCGTGGGGAAGGGGAGGGGTGGCTGAGGAGCTGCTCAATAAGATGTCACCAGAAGGAAACGGACTCACCTCACTCCACGTTTTTAATCAATAACAGTCATTTCTTTCTCGAGCTCACTCTCTCTTTCTAACTCAGCCAGAAAATAAGAAGCGGGCGATTCAACGGATAGGGTTTTCTACAAACTAGAATGCGCCCTCACCACTAAGAGAACATCAAGAGGTCTGTTCTTTCCACTCGGAACTATTCCTAACCCCACACTTCCCAAATTCATCTAGCCAACAAACAAGCACCATAAAATAATAAGACGAGAGGTCATGTGTAGATAGGCAAAGGTAGTTGAAAGGGTAGTTGCATCTGTGCAGTTTTACCCACAACGTGAGTATAATGCTTGGCCTTGCCTACTTCACGACACTAGTCAAGAACCTCAGGAAACAACACGCAAACTCACTCTAAAAATGTTAAAATGCTAAGCATTATGGCTTATAATTTTTAGAAGCCACTTTTCAACATAATTGTGATGGGCCAGGGTCTATGCTGAAGAAGTGCTTTGGGGTCTATTAGCCGGCTCTGCCTTCTTACAAACGCCAGGAGGCACTATTCTAATCACCAGTTGGGAGAGGAGGAAGTTGGGGCTCAGAGAGGTTAATTGATTTGCATGAGGTCACACAGCTGGGTCATGGCAGAGCCAAGAGTGAATCCTGGGCCTGTTCATGAACTGCTGTTTATTAAACACTGAGCTCATCAAATGTATGTTTTCCATGGCCTCCTGAAGAGTTTCACTATTTTCTTGCTCTTTCACCAGGGTGTGCCTAGATCTGAGAAGGAAAAGCTTTTGTTTTTGTCACAGAAAGTTGCAATGGAGATACTATGTACATCTGTCTCCAGAGATGCACAGAAAAAGCATTAGGAGCCACAAACCTTAAAAAAAAAAAAAAAAAGCCCTCCAGGAATATTCCTAACAAAAATCGACGGAGAGGGCAGTGAATCACCACACTGGAACTCTCCAAAAATTGAATTCCCCAGGAAGTTTATAGGTTAAACTCAGAGCTGAAGGGTGGTCCACTCTGATGATGGGGGAGCACTCGATTAGGAGTCAGGAGACCTAGCTTAGCCACTGTGACCCAGGTTCACTGTGTGGCTTCAGACAAGTCCTTTTCTCTCTCCCTGGACTTCATTTTCTGCACCTACAAAATGAGGACTTTGAGAGAGAGGCTCCAATCAACTCCACACAGCAACTGATATTCTTCTGTACATTTAGAGCTTGTCAGGGCCAAGACAGCATTTGTGAGAGCCCGGCAAACGGAGTAAATGAAAAAAATCAGGTTCGGTCTAATGCAATAGGGAGTGGTGAGGTCTGTGGCAAATGGCCTGCACTTCTGCCCAGCTCTAGCCATTTTGCCATTTGAGAATGGGAGTCCAGGGCTTATCGTTTTCAAGAGAGACCAATAACCTAGGTTGTTATATAAAAATCTCCCCGATTCGTAAAATTCTGGGCAGTTAATCATGTCTCCCCATGGGCCACTAGTTGGAAGCCGCTGCTTCTAAGAAAATGTAAGGAATTACTCAGGGAAATCTTTTCCTTTGTTGCCCAAAAGCAGTCCCTACTGAGGTGGAACACGGCAGCTAGTTAACACTGCTCCTGAGTGAAATATAAAAACTAGAGAAGCAGCATTTGGGGATTTAAGTCAATTCAGACCGAGTCAGTTCAATAAAGGGCAAGCGAGAAGCTGAAACTGCCTGGTCACATCATTCCCCCACATTTTATTTTTCTGCCACTCTCAATTAATCAGAAGTGTCAGCCCTTCATTTTGGATTTCCTGGCTGAGGTTGTTAATTGAATTTTAATTAATGGCAACTTTAGGAGCACAAAATGAAATCCTAGCCCAAGGAAGATCCACACGGAGCTCTGGATGTAGAAAGCTCTTCTGAGACCATCCCAGTCCATACTCTTTGTCTTATAGATCAAGAAACTGAGGCAAGACAGTGATTTGCTCAAAGCCCCCCTGAGGTCCCCTGGCTCTGAGTCCAGGGCTCATTGCAAGACTCCAGGCTGTCCCTGGGACACAATGTGTTCAGCCTTCAAAACACGACAGGGAGCTAGCTAGAGTGTGGTTTCCAGAGTCGGAGATTCATACGGTGCCAGAGGAGACCAGATGAGGGGACGTCCACATACATGTATTATCCCCAGCTGCGATGTCAGGACAAAGGGGACACGGTATCAAGCTCCTAATTTATCAAAGGAGAGAACTTTGGGCGTTTGATTTTTCTTTGTCACAGTTATTCGGTAGCCCCCTTGGAGATCTGGGTAAACCCACCCTGTCCCTCCCCTGTGCAACCAGGAAACCCGTCCCCTGTTCCAGGGCACCGAGGTTCTACCTGCAGTCACAGCCCCACAAGGTAGCCAATCAAAAAATTACTTCTAGGGGCGCCTGGGTGGCTCAGTTGGTTAAGCATCTGACTTGGGCTCAGGTCATGATCTCAGGGTCCTGGGATCGAGCCCCACCTTGAGCTCAGCGGGGAGTCTACTTGTCTCTCTCCCTCTGCCCCTCTCCCGGCTTGTGCTCACTCTCGCGCGCATGCGTGCAAGTAAAATAAAAAATGAAAATATTTTTAAAACAAACAAACAAAACCCTACTTCTGGCCACATGCAGTGGACTCCATGATATGACTCCTGCTGGGGACAATTCTCTCCACCCTGTTAGATATTTATGAGATGTTGGTGCTGCCTCTTCTCCCTACCTGCCTTCTGAGGGTATCAAAACACTATGATCGGAAGGTGACCTTAGTCCGCTCTGCAAGCGCTTTCCTTTTAAGTGTTCTCCAATAGAATTGTTTCTGTTGGGCGCCTGGGTGGCTCAGTTGGTTAAGCGACTGCCTTCGGCTCAGGTCATGATCCTGGAGTCTCGGGATCGAGCCCCGCATCGGGCTCCCTGCTCAGCGGGGAGTCTGCTTCTCCCTCTGACACTCCTCCCTCTCATTCTTTCTCTCGCAAAAAAAAAAAAAAAAAAAAAAAAACTTAAAAAAAAAAAAGAATCGTTTCTGTTAATTGAGTGTAAACCACAGCCCAGGGCACCATTGAACTCTTATTCTAGAGCAGCTGAGGACCTACTCGGCCCCACTGTAAACCTGGCATTTCAAAAGTCAAAAAGAATCAGCAGCATGGGATCAAGGGCATTTTCAATGCCCCTGACAAGGGCATTGCTGAATGTATTTTTAAGCAAGGCATAATAATTAGCGTTGGTGTTAGCCTGACCTGGACTGGAATCCTGTCTCTGCCACTTGCTATTTGTGTGACCTTGGGCATATTAGAACCCTCTAGAAGACTTGGATCATGAGTCAAACGAAGGCATGACCCGGCACAGTAAATTCTGAAGTGATATCAATCATGCCAGAGGGTGGTGTGAACACACACACACACAAACACACACACACACACACACCCATCCTCTCTGACTCCTTTCCTCCCAAAAGTCCACATTCTCCTTACAAGACTTTCTCTCCCTACCCCTTACTAGCTTCTAGGACTTGTCATCTAGACCCTTCCATCCACCACAACCGTGGCTCCTCTCCCTGTCCCCCAAGAATGCTATCCTATCAGACACATCTGCTTCCCTAAATGTCAGGTCTAGAATTTTCTCCATCTTGTACTCTTCAGAAGACCCCCGGTAAACACAAATCTTCATTCTTTGAGGGCCTGGTGTCAACGTGGTAAACAAGAAGTTGATCCATACAATTTGGGGTCAAACCAAGAGGTAGCTAAAGACACGAGACCCATCCTCCCACAGTTTAAAAAATCAACTCCGAGGATCATTACAAAAGTCCAAAACTCCTCTGGTCCCCGGTAACGTCACTGGCATATGTGTTTGGCCTCCTGTGGTGACTACTTGGGCAACCACGGTGCTCGCTGAATAGAATTAGTCCCATCATGTTTGCTTCAGATAATACACACTTTAAATTATCTTGATTTGTGACAGAAGGTCACCCCAGACCCAGGATATGTGTCATGGTGTTTGGGAAGAGCCAAAAGAAATTCACATTCAGAGCCAGGTTTTCACTTTTTTTCTTTCTTACTTTCCTTCCTTCCCTCCTTTCTTCCCTCCTCCCTTTTTTCTTCTCTCTCCCTCTCTCTTTCCCTTCTATTCACCCTCTCCTTCCATCATTCTGTCCTCCCTCCCTTCTTTCTGAGATTCCTCTTTCTTCTCTCTTTCCTTCAGACCAAGAAATTCAAAATTCCTGTACTCCGCGTCACCAGCCGCAAACCAAGCCGGCGAGGCTCCACACTCAGTCTGTCTCGGACCAGCGGAGGATCATCCCCTCAGAGCAGCATGGTCTCCATGAACCCTGGCTCAGATGAGCCCCCGAGTGTGATCACCCAGGCGACAGTCAGCAAGGACATTGAGGACAATGAATCATCTTCAACCAAGCCTGACGAAGAACCTCTCCACATCAGTAAGTCCTACCTGAGAGCTGACCAATCCACTTTGACTCTTTGCCTCGAAGCCAGACATCGAGAACCCCTCCTGCTCGACCTCCACCCCCGCCCCCCACTCAGTTAAAGGAGACACAGGGGTCCCCTAGCCCTGCTCAATTTCCTCGGTCCCTTTTGCTTTCCCCCAGTGAAGACTGGAAATATTCTCTATAACTTGAGATTACTCTGAGCAACTTCTCTGTGAGAGACAGCCCATGGTCATCAATTGCTCTCTTTAAAATTTTAATAATATTTTATTCAGCCCAACTTATATAAAATATTGTCATTTCAACATGTAATCAATACAAAATTATTAATGAGGTATTTCATGTCTTTTTCATACTAAGTTTTTGAAATTTGGTATTGACTTTTTAAAACAACTTTATGGAGGTATAATTTGCATTCCATAAAATTCACTCTTTTTAAGGGTACAATTCAATGACTGTTAGTCAATTTGCAGAGTTGTGTAACTCTCACCACAATCTAATTTTAGAACATTTCAATCAAGCCAAACGAAAACCTCGTATCCATTGGCAGGCCCTCTCCTTTGCCACCCCTGACCCCAGGCAATCGTAAATCTACTTCCTGTCCCTAGGGATTTGTCCTTTCCTAGTATTTTATATATGGAAGTTTTATCACTCTCTGACACCACCCCCCACTCCCACCCCCGAGCCCCCGCTCTGGAACAAGCTTTTTCAGTGGTTCACAATTTGTGGGACACAGGTTCTTCAGAAAATCAGTTAAATTCAGTTAAAAGATATGGGTCCTCTCCCCAGAACCTCGAGGAGGTTGAACGAGAGGCGAAGGTAGACAGAAAGCCTGACTGAGACCCTAATCATCAAAACCAAAAATGGGCAAAAGGGCAAAAATCCAGTAAGTGGTCAGGACTCCGAGCAATGACTACCAATGAGAAAAAAACCCCACCCTTGTTAACAGGCAACCATGAAAGGCTCCAAGCCCTGAAAAGCTGTTTGCTGAACAGATTATCTCAGATAGAGAGGAACTAAGATCAACCATCCGTAGACGTGTGACTCTTAACAGATTATCTTGAACCTTCTTTCATTTCAACACATGTCTACTCATCAGCTACTGAGTGCCTGGAACTGAGAATTACAGTTCCTGCCCTCCCCAAGCTTATATTTTAGAAGGAAGAAGCAGACCACAAACAAGAAAGCTACAAATAGCAAGGCGGTTGCAGGTAATATGTGATCAGAAGATCATAAAACAAGACGTGGGCCAGAGAGAGACTGCTGGTGGGAATGGGGCTAGTTTAGCCGGAGTGGTCAAGAAAAGCCTCTCTCAGCTCTGACATTTAGGCTGAGATCTGAGGATATGAAGCTGCGGAGGGAGGCAGGAGTCGGAGTGGGCCTCGCCTTAAGGTAAGGTAAGGACTTCACAGTGATTCTGAGTGCAACAGGAAGTCTCTGGAAGGCTTTTGGTATAGGAGTAACAGGGTCTGGTTTTCTTTTCAAAGACTGTGTTGTTACTAGTGTCACATCATGCTGTGTGTCTTTTAACCCTGAAAGCCCTGCAAGTAAGAAGTGTCCCCATCTTCAAGAACAGGCTCTAGAATGCGGAAGGAAGGAGGAAGCAGAGGGGGAAGGAAGCTGTGATGAGTGCAGGGGTGAACAGTGCCCTCTCTCCAAGAACCCGAGACACCGCAGACCCGTCCCCAGTGGCTGTCTCCCTCCCACATCTAACCAGCTGACTGTTCCCATCAGTCCTATCTCCTAAAACTCTTTTGAACCTTCTCTCTTCATTTCCATTACTTCATCTTAGAAAACTGGGGCACGTAGGCTAGGTCCTGACACTTATGTTTCGTTTCATGTACAAGGCTTTATCTAAAAAAAAAAAAAAAAAAAAAAAGTGGGAATGATATTTTAAGATTTGAGAGATTTTACATAAAAATTTTGATTAAAAAACAACAACAACAACAACACTGTGACAAGAGTAGACCCCCAAGCCTGCACAACATTCAACTGGAGCTGCTCCTCTTAGGTGGGACATGTGCTGGCTATCTTCGCCAGTCCCTACCAGTCCCTATTACCCCCAATCACTGCTCCCAATTGGCCAAGTGCATGGCCATTTATTGTCTCATTTGCCCTACTGTTTTCCTCAGAATATGGGTGATAATGATCATGATGATGATAGTACAACAGTTAATGCTTAAGAAGACTTTTATGTATCAGGCACTATTCTAGCTTCTAATGTAAACATACTATATATATATATATAAATTCACATATATATATACACAAATATATATTTGCATATAAATTCAATGAATCCTCACAACAGTTTTATGCCTATTTTGTAGATGAGAAAATTGGGGCACAGAGAGATTACATTATTTGCCCAAAGTCACACATCTAGTAAGAGATGAGGCCAAAATTTGAACCCAGGCAATCTGGCCCTTATGTCACACTTAATCTCTATGCTTTACCCAAGTCTCTAGAAAAAGTGGGAAATGAAAGACCAAGGGAGAAACTTGATTTTTCTTACACTACGTCATGTCACCCATCTGGTACCTGACCCCTGTAGGTACCTGAGTTTGGAACACTCCCCTTCCCCCCCCATCCACATGCTCATTTCTTCTCACCCACACGACAGCAACAGCCTCCTAGTCTCCCTGCTTCGCTTCCTGTCTTGCCCTCACTTGCCCATGGATTTTTCTCCATGTTGAGCCAGAAGGAACTTTCTGAATTAAAAATCTGATATAGGAGCACCAGAGTAGCTCAGTCAATTAAGCATCTGACTCTTGATTTCGGCTCAGGTCATGATCTCAGGGTCGTGAGATCGAGCCCCGCATTGGGCTCCACACTGGGCATGGAGCCTGCTTAAGATTCTCTCTCTCCCGCTCCTTCTGCCCCTTCCCCCATCTCTTAAAAAAAGGAGGGGGGGGCACCTGGGTGGCTCAACTGGTTAAGCGTCCGACTCTTGATTTCAGCTCAGGTCATGATCTCAGGTTTGTGAGATGGAGACCCTTGTTGGGCTCCGTGCTCAGCAGGGAGTCTGCTTGGGATTCTCTCTCTCCATCTCCCTCTGCCGCCTCCCCCTAAATAAATAAATACATAAGTATATAAATACATAAAATCTTTTTTAAAAATCTGGTATAGTGCTCCCCAGCTTAACATCTTTCAAGATTCCCCTTTGCCTCTAAGCCATCGCATCTGATCTTGTCCCAGGCTGTTTTAACAGGCTCAGCTCTTACCATTTCAAACCTTGCATCAGGCACTCCAACCTCACCTCACCAAAATGCTTTCCTCTTCTGAAACTATGCACATTCTTTCATGTCATCCTCTGTCTGCAATGCCCTTTCACCTGTCACCCTTTAGTTTGGTGGACTCCTACTCAACTTTAAAGGCTCAGCTCAAATATTCCCTCCACTGTGAAGTCTTCCCTGACGCTCCTGGGTTCCCCCCTCTCAATTCTCTTAGTACTTTGTATTTGCTTTTATTGAACATGTAAATTTTAATTGTGAATTAAATTTAATTCACTGTATCAGGTAGGAAGTCCTTTGGGCTGGATACAAAAATCTGCAAAGTGGTGGCTTAAAATAGATAAAAGTTTATTTTTCTTACAGATTAAAGAAGGCCAGTTCATGGCTGGTATGGCTCCCAAAAGTCATCAGGAACCCTGCTTCCTTCTGTCTTTCTTCGCCACCATGCTCAGCATCATTTTATGATCAAAATGGAACGCCAGCCATCCCAGCCACAGGCTAGGCTGGAAGCAGAAGGAAGTAGGTGACGGAGAAAAGTGCTCACTCCCCACTGAGTGGAAGCAGTCTTTTCAGAAGCCCCATAAAACATTTCTACTAAACTCTCATTGTCCAGAATTTTGTCCCAGGGCCACATCTAGCTGCAAAGATGTTGGACAACTGGTCTAGTAAATGCTTACCCTCACACACACACAAAAGAACACACACACACAGAGATGCGCACACATACACACACACACTCGTGCACATATTTCTATTACTAAGGAAGACAGGGGAGAGGAATGTGAGTTCACTGCTGGTGTGGAACAATGGCGTCTTATTCACCCTCAGCCCTGCATGCAGTGGGTGCACAACAATGACTGGGAGAAGCATTTCCACCAGAGACCCATGTTCCAGAGAGAAAGTCTTCCTACATCCACCTCTTTATCCTTCCCCTCTATTTATACCTTAACCTCCCTCCCATTTGTCATAGCCTTGACAAAAGTAGATTAATTTCCCAGACTTTCACTGCCTTCTAAAACCTCCTCAAATTTATTCTGAATTCATGAATCCTATTCTGAGAGACACACCATTTGACCAAGGTCTAATTTCCAGGCTGGCTGCATAATGAAGTCTTTGTGGAGGCAAATCACTGGTAACAGCAGGTTATGGCCTCTCTGTGGACTGATCCCCTCCCCAAATCAATGGCAAGGGGATTCACAAGAAACCAAAGCCCAGGCAGTTCTTCCTGCCAGTCTTAAAGCTCCCAGTCTTGGAACTGTTAGAGGAGAAACTCATTTAAATAGCAACTGAGAAAGATGGATCCTATGGTGGCTAATGCTCCCTCTACAACCCAACCCCATACAACAAAAAGACCTTCTCTGTTTTCCCCCAAAGAGGGAGAAATGAGTTTGGTCACTCAAGAGTGAGATTTGTGGACATGCTGTGGATGGGAGATGGAGGAGGGAAGTCAGAATTTTTTCCTTCGGTGTATGATTTGGCATTTGGAAACACAGAATGCCATTGTCTGTAAACAATGGATAATGTCATCCCCATAGCTCTGGGAACTGAGGACCAAGCAGGTTCCTTTGAGTGTGGGCCTCCATTACAGGGCCCTATTCCTCACGGAAACCCTATTTTATGACATCTGCACCCCCTGCAAACAAGGGTCTGCTCCCAAGTAGCCTTGAGGAGTAGATGTAGACCTCCGGAGTCCCCAGGCTTTATTTGAGTTCATAGGTATCCAACCTCAGCGACATAATGGATGGAGCTTATATTGCTGGACACCATATTATTATGGTGTTATTGGCAAACAGGAAAAAAAATCTTTGGTGCATTAAGTGAGTGTGGAGCCTTCCTCATGATTCTCTAGGAGAGCTGCCCAACGTGCCAGGTCACCAGGGTCATTTGCTGGTATCCACCCACCCCTTGGCTCGTTTGCATATGGGTGGGGGAAGGAGTGGGGGAGCAGTCAGATGTTGCTCCTTGGTTCCCAGGAGATGGGAAGAAAGTGGAGGAACCAGCTACAGCCCCTTTACTAATAGGCTTCTAGACACTCTGCAAGGATTCTGGGATGTACCACAGTAGAGGAGGCGGGCATGATGAGACAACAATGAAGATCGGATTCAGGTCAACTGGAATCATGCCCACAAATTACTAGGAAGATACATTACTTGGGAATGGGGGAGGAAGGTGGAGTGGAAAATGGCTGAATGTTGGTGTTCATCACAGCCTAGATGGTTCCAAGATCATTAAGGGGGAGCGCGCTTGCCCTAGCACCCAGTGACTGCATTCATAAACAAGGCTGGATACAAATGGCAGTGGGAAGCCCTGGGCTTCACTCCTGCAGGTATGGCTTTTAAGACCTGCACTTGCGTTGATGACAGGCCCCTACTAAAGGGTACAAAGTATCCCCACTGGCACTGTCCTCTTTCACTGATACCCCAAATCTAGCTCAAGTTCTCCCAAATCCTTCCCTCTTTTTGTTTTCTCCTTAGCCATTCACTTATGTATTCAGCAAATGTTGACTGGCACTGCTCTATGACAAGCACAGTGCCAGGTACTTGCAAATCTGTATCCACATAAAACATGTAGGACTTCCACCGTCCCACTTTCCTTGAAGCATACAGCTTACTCGAAGTATATTTCATTTTCAAACTTTCGAGTCAGTGTATTAGCTTCCTGGGGCTGCCTTAATGAAGTTCCAGGAACTAGGAGGCTGAAAACAACAGGGATTTATTGTCTCACACAGTTTTTGAGGTTGGAATCCAAAATCAAGGTGTCGCGGGGCTGTGCTTCCTCTGGAGCCTGGAGGGGGGAATCCTCCTTGCCTCTTCTAGCTTCTGGGAGTAACCGGCCACCCTGAGCACTTGGCTCTAGACGCATCGTCAATCCATCTGCCTCTGTCATCACAGGTCATCCTCTCCCTGTCTGCCCCCTCGTGTTATAAGGACACCAGTCGTATTGGATTAAGGCCCCACTCCACAGCCGCACGACCTCCTCTTAACTTAAATAACCACATCTGCAACAACTCCATTTCCAAACAAGAGTGTGAATAATTCAAGTTCTGAAATAGTGGGGGATTAGGACATCCACATATCTTCCGGAAAGACACACTCCAACCCATAACAGTCAGGCACAAAGATGTATTTCTGCACTATGTAAAAAGCAACAACGTTAAGTATGCAAGGAGAAGTCACCTAGCGCAAGGAGGAGTGGCCAGAGTGCTGGGGGGCAGGGGGCTGGAGCCCGCGCGCCCAAAGGCCACCGTCTGCATGCAGCAAGAATGAGCCCCATCTCAGAGTCTTTTCCGGGAAAGCAGAAGGTCTGGATTTTTACAGGAAACCTTCCAGTTTTAAAAGGTTAGCATCTACGTCAAATCAAACAAAATACGTGTGAGCTAGATTCAGCCTGTGGATCACCAGGTTGGAACTTCAGGTCCAGGGGATGAGGAAGGGTTTCCCGAACAAGATGATTTTTTCTCAGAATTAGAAACTGTCCTCTCTGGCTACACTAGAGTTTAAGGTCAGGGAGGGAAGCGAGATGAGACAGGAGAGAAAACAAGCAGCCAGATCCTGCAAAGCCTCAGATGCCACATGGAGGAATGTAAGTGTTATCCAAAGGGAACATGACAAGTCATTGGTTTTAAGCAGGTTGGTGATGTCTGGTGTACAACCTGCCAAACACCATGGGCTGCCTACACCCTGATCTATCCCTCTCCAGCTCGCCACACGCAGAAGCAGAGGGGATATCAGCCCTGCCTGCCCTCTAGACAATGACCTCTCATGTTCCCATCAGATTTGCAGAAGCTGCTGGAGATGGTGCGGGAAGATGCCCGAAGGACAGTCATGTTGGAAAATGGGATGCAAAGAAAAGCACCCAGGTACGTTCTCTTGACCCCTGGGGCAAATAAAGGATGTCAGAATAAGAGTGATAACATTAGCCGTAGCAGTTCCAAATTATCGAGCATTTTCTCTGTGACAAGCACTGAGCTATGTACTTTGTTCATGTGTATCACCTCCCTGGGTTCTTTCAACAACCCTCTGAGGAAGATACCATTATCTTTATGTTACAAATGAGAAAATGAGGCTCAGAGAGGCTAAGTAATTTGTTCAAGGTCATCCAGCTAATGAATGGTAAAGGCACAACTTGAATGCAGATCCCTCTAATTCCAAAAAGCATCCTCTTAACCACTATGCCGCACTGCTTCCCAGGAATTGTAAGGTTATTTGTCCACTCTTTTACTGAATAGTTATGAATATGTATGGACTAGGTGCTAATTATTGCAGGAAGCATTAGAAAAGGAAAGCTCAGACCTAAAAGGCTGAATAATAGGGGAATCTCATCTAGTCTAGGATGGGGATAGGGATCAGAGAAGTTTCCTCCAAGGAAGAGACTGTAAAGAGATTGTGAGATGAAGTGAGAAAAAGAGCTCCCTGGCCAACACTAGGGGCGGGTGAACATTTCAGGTAGCGCCTGTGCAAACACACTCAGAGGGGACCATGGCACTTTCAAGGAACCGAAATGCAGCCAGAATGGGATGGAGAGAGGCATACATCTGCCCGGGGACCTTGGAGGCCACCTCAAGGATTCTGGTTTCCTTCCTAAGAACAACAAAGAACCTCAGAAGTGTCAAGCCGGCAACCAAGGTGATCGGCTCATGGCGTCAGACTTGAACCTGAAAGTGTCCTCCTCTGGGCGGGAAGCCTTTTCCACAGGACTTCTGACCTCGAACAGCCTCAGAGACCACACAGGCTCTATAGAGCTGGCGTTTCCTTCCCAAGTACAGATTCCTCCGAGTAAGCAAATTATTTCATGAAAATAAATGATGCACTGGAAGAGGTTCTTCATTGCTCTCAGCCTACTGGGATGCCGGCTCTGACTTATTGGTTATTGTTATTACCATAATTACAGTTCACTGAGCCCTTGCACATGCATCACACCCGCCGCTGCTTGCTAATGACGAATTTGTTCTGCTGCTGCCTCGACTTGCATCAGGGGCTCGGAGGGTGGCACGTGGAGGCATCCCGAGACAGTATTGGCCCTCCAGGCCCTGGGTGCTCTTCCTGGTTTACCAGCATCGGAGACCGACGTTAAGGATGAAGCATCAGCTCCATGAGTCTCCCTCCTTTGTGAGAACCCACAGCATGAGCACCAGCACCAGTACCAGCACCAGCGTTGGAGTCAGACTGACACGCATCCGAAAGCTAGAACAGGCCGACTTAGCCTTTCTCTAAACCTCAGTTTTCTCATCTATAAAATGAGATTGTGCGGCCTCAAAGCACTGGCCTTGGAACCAAGTAGGCGAGGGTGGATGGACCTCCACCCACCTCATTTGGCTGCTGTGTGATGTTGAGCAAGTTGCCTCACCTCTCTGAGCCTGATTCCAATTCTGTAAAATGAGGCTTATTAGCAATAATATTATCTCTGTAAAGCATTATTATTGTTGTGGGAACAATACCTATATTTCAATGAGTCATTTTAAGGATTTAGGTGAAATAATGCATTTAACATATTAGTATGGACTTAACTTATTACAAGCACCCGATACATGGTGGTGGTGGTACTTGTATTTCACACATAGCATTGCACCCAATCTTCACAGCATGTTGCTGACTCAGGTTTATTAACAACTGCCCGTTGCCAACACCCCACCACATGGATGGAGAAGGGCAATGAGTGACTTGCAGAAGGTCAAGAAAAACTCCACGAGAACCCAAAACTCATCGTGTGGCCTCTGCATTCACTTCAGTGATACAATAACCATGGTGACAGAGCAAGAACCTGTGGAAATTTCCCATCCTCCTCAATCCCTCTGGGAGAAAAATCTCCCTAATCTCTCCCTGAGGCAGCAGATATTGGAGGCTTCTCCGCAGAGCGGCCAACAGACAGTGAGGAAAAGTAGCACATTTTCTTTTGCCCTCCTCACTTTAGAATCTGGATTCCTTTTTCAATTTAGGCCCCACATCTGTTCCCCTCGGGGCTAACTTAGAAACCTGGGGTTTTTCAGAACCCCTAAAAATCAACTGGAGCAGCCCCAGCCTCAAGGCCAGACTGCCCTCTGGTTGTCTTAGTCTCTTCGGGCTGCTGTAACAAAAATACCCCGGACTGGGTGGTTTATAGACAACAGATACTTATTTCTCACTGTTCTGGAGGCTGGGAAGTCCAAAATCAAGGTTCCAGCAGATTCGGTGTCTGGAGAGGGCCGTCCGCATAGATGATTGTCTTCTCACTATAACATTACATGGGGGAAGGGAGCTTCCCAGAGTTTCTTTTATAAAGGCACTAATCCCAATGATGAGGGTTCTGACCTCATGAGCTAATCACCTCCCAAAGGCCGCCACCTTCTAATACCCTCACCTTGGGGATTAGGATTTCAACATATAAATTGTGGGGTGTTGGGGGGGCGCAAACATTCAGACCATAACATCACCTAGGAAGATGACCTTTTCTTAAAATCTTCTACCAGTATTTTCTAAATGTCTCTGAGGATCAGAATTAGCTGGGACGCTTGTTAGAAATACAAATTTGTAGTCTTCATCCCAGACCCATTGAATCAGAACCTCCAGAGGAAACTGTATTTTTTAACAAGCACTTCAAGTGGGCACCATTTCACAGGGTGCTGAAAAATTCTAAGGTCTCAAAATGGGCTCTCTGCACACCTGTATCAGAAGTGTGTGTGTGTGTGTGTGTGTGTGTGTGTGTGTGTGTGTGGTTTTAAATGCAGCTTCTGGGGTCTCACTCCAGGCCTGATGTATGCAAATCCCTGGGAGTACGGCCCAGGAATCCGTATTAGTAGCAATCTCTCTCCAGGTGATTCCGGTGCCCAGTAAAGTCTAAAGATCCCTGCTCTAGAAAGAGAATTCTCCACCATCCCACAGATACTTCCTGCCTCAGGGGTACCGTATGTTCTGTGCTTTATTAAGACACTCATCTTGCTTTCCAGTATCTTGTCAATGCTCAGACAAAACAAGAGTGATTCTGCCTATAAAGACATGCAGCCCCCCCGCAAATCAAGGTAGGATGGCACCCCGCAGTTACAGGTAGATGCAGAGATGCCCCTCAGCAGCCCGTGGGAAGTGGGGCAGGGAGGAGGGACTTCTTCCTTCTTCACTAGAAATAAGCCCCTTAATTTCTAGGGCTGGGGGGTGAGTATCTAGGTGTCTCTTCCCCGACTCAAACGGTATAAAGTTAAAATCTTCCAGTCATGGAGAGACATGAAGCAGGGAGGGTATGGAGCCCCCTACACGACTGCCCTTTCCCTCTTTACTTGGGTGGCCTTTAATGAGTGAAAGGAGGTCCACCCACATTTCATTTACTCATCTTGACTATACTCATCAGTAGCCCCCTGTGCCAGGAACTGTTCTAGGTTTGGAGGGATTCAACAGCAAACAGGACATATGTAGTCTGCCCTCACAGATACCACTATCTGGACTGGGTGGGGTCATAGCTTTTTTTTTGTGCTATGGGCCCTTTCAGAAAAATGCTTTTAAATGCATACTGTAAATCACAAAGGTTTGCAATGAAATCTATAGTACTATAGATTATGATATTACAACCAAATTTGGGATATAGTCATCTATGGGCTTCTTTCACAATAAGTTATATAACAAGACTTAGCAGATCTAATAACTACTGTAATTTTAGATTAGTATTGAGTGTAAATGATCTTTCAAAGTATCTGCCACAATTGCAACATGTTGTGCAAATACATGCAATTTCCATTTCTGCTGAAGGTTAGTTGAAATAAAGACATAACCTTTTTTCCATCTACATTCATGGATGCCTTGAATCCTGCCCGTTAGAGGCACCTAGAGGTGCCTGGGTGGTCTAGAAGCACCTGGGTGGCTCAGTCGTTAAGCATCTGCCTTCGGCTCAGGTCATGATCCCAGGGTCCTGGGATTGAGCCCCGCATCGGGCTCCCTGCTCCGCGGGAAGCCTGCTTCTCCCTCTCCCACTCCCCCTGTTTGTGTTCCCTCTCTCGCTGTGTCTCTCTCTGTCAAATAAATAAATAAAATCTTAAAAAAAAAAAAAAAAAAGAATCACTGGTCTAATGGGAGAGCCATGCATTTATTAAATAATCCCACAGAGTGAGCCATATAATCATGACTATGGAAAGTATACTGAAGGAAAAGACTGGGTGAAAGGTGAGCACTGGAGGCCTAAGGCTGAGTTTGACATTTAAGCTGAGACCTGAAGAAAAGAAGATTTAGCTAGCCTATGGCGGGGATAGGTGGGGATAGGTGGGAACAGTGTTCCAAACAAAAGGAACAGCCTGTGCAAAGGGCCTGAGACAGGAGGAAGCTTTGAGGCACTGAGCAGAAATCAGTAAGGCTGAAACTCAGGGAGAGCCAAGGAACAGGGAGACAGAAGCGGGCAAAGGGTCCTTTGTTGTTTATTCCTATTTGTTCTTTTATCACAGCTAATACCACTACTTCCCTCATCCCCCACCTCCTCCCTGAGTCACACTGTCAGTGCTAGAAAAGAAGAGAGCCATCTACAGGAGGGAGGTCAAAGCCAACACACTCTCCCAAAGAATTCATCTGCATGGGTTGGGGCAGCTGGCTGGAATCCAAACACAAGGACCTCTGGGCACTATTCCTGGGGCCCTACATGCCAGTGAGATGGGATAAGGGCTCCAGCCATCACCTGCCAGAGCTAAGATGTCTACATCCAGTCCCTTGAGCCTCTGGGAAAAGCAGCAAAGGGTCAGGACCTTTTCTATGGAGAGGGCTCTGGGAAGTAGCCAGCCTACTGAAGGAAGTTCCAGGTGCTACAGGGCCAGTAGGGAAGGGTCAGCTGCACATCACAAGGATAAGAAAAACAGGCTCATCCTCTAGAACCAGACAGAGAAGACAGTCAAGTAAGTTTTCCAAGCATTTGGTAAAAAGGGAGACAGAGCAAGAGAGGGTGTGAGACGCTGGGCCTGAAGGACCCGGGAGAAGGCACATGGGAGGGAAAAGCATGAGCAAAGGGGCTTCACCCCCTTCTAGGAGCTCCGACCGCCCAAGTCACAGGAGGGAGTGGCCACTCAAGAAATTCAATCAAGCCCCCACCTAGAAAGGGTTCAATGTCATGAAGAGTTGACTGATCACAGATGAGGAGACTGACGATCCAGAGCTGAGGTGCTTGCCCAAAGACTGGGAGGTGGTAGTGCCCGGCTTGGGCTCTGGAGTCAGCTCTGTCTGCCTCCAAAGTAAAGCGAAGGGAGCGGTCAGCTCAGGGTCCAGTTCAGAGAAGAGCATCCTTGAATGAAGAAGCGGTCTGGGGTTGGGAACATCAACATCATGACTAGAAGGACTTGACCATCCCTTCACAGCACTCAGCCCGGGAGGTTACATGTTAATCGGTATAGAGAGGAGAATGGAAGGGCCCCAAGTGAACTTGTGTCCTCCAGAGGGAAAGATCAATTTTGTACAAATGAAACTGGGATCCAGAAGATACATCATTCTGACAATACACAGAGACAGAAGGTCAAAGTCAGACTAGAAGAGTCAAAGCAGGCAGAACTTGCTGTAGACCATGAAACAGTGTTGGATTTGAGCAGGTGGAGAAGAAACAAGAAGGACCCTCCAGGCAGGGGATATGGGTAGAAGCAAGGACCAAGAGGTGGGAAAAATACACACTCAGCCCTATGACTGGTCCCTTGATTAGCGCCACCTCCCTGCCCTGAATCCTGGAGGCTAGCAGGTGTCATGGGAGCCCCGAAGACACCCTTTTGCGAAAAGCAGGCTCCAGGCCACCTGAAACCATCCCTTTGTGTTTCAGTGACCGATCCAGCAGTTCAAGTGGAGAAAGCCACACCCAAGTCATCCAGAAGAAGTCTAAAAGGTAGGCCAGATGGGCAACAGAACGTGCTGGGCAAAGATACTGTGGCAACCACACTGTCTCCCCAGGGGTATGGAAATAACTCAGTGCATACTAGACTCCCTGAAGTCATACACACTGCTTAAAGACAAGGGATGCCCAGGGCAAGGGGCTCACAGCCAAGATGCCATTGCAGACAATGGCAATAAATTCCTCCCCTGTGCCAGACGCTGGGTGAAGCATTCTATATTATCTTGCTATTCCCCAAAACCAATCCTATGAGGCGGGAGCATTATCCCATTCTACGGAGGAGCAAACTGAGACCTGGCCAGGTGAGATGTCTTGCCTGAGGCCACACAGCTAAGAAATGGTGGTGCTGGAGTCCGAACCTGAGTCTCCCAGCTCCAAATTCCATTTTCATCTCACAGTCCTTAACATTTGCTGGGCTCAAGTGACTGGATGTCTCTCTGTGGGCTTATTTAATAAAGCTTGAACCACCAACCTGATGTTGTTGGGAAGATCTGGCCTTCCTACATCCAGGGAAATGCAAAGGGCAGATCCAGGTAAGGGTAGAGAATCAGGGTGTACAGAGAATCTCCACAGCAGAGCACCTTGGGGCCCAGGGAGTCCAGCCTCATGGATCTGATCCTGGGACTTCATCCCCTAAGCCCTTTGTATCTGTGTCGACAGCCGCACCAACCGTGACATCATCCACTGCAAGACTGGTATATGCAGCTCCATGAGGGCCAAGTTTTACAGCGTGGCCCAGGAGGCCGGCTTCTGTCTTCAAGACAAGATGGAAATCCTCATGAAGTAAGGGCACACAAACATCCATTCCTCCAAAGGACATTCATCTAGTACCCAGTATGTGCCCACTGATGTCAGATGCTGGGGATTAGCAGGGAATAAGGACCTATTTCCTGCCCTTAGAGAGCTTATAGTCTCCTAGAAAATATGGGCAGAAACAAATAACTGAGTCGATAAATATATGGGCACAAATTATAGTCATTGCTATACAGGAAGAGAACAGGGTGCTATTAGAGAAAGCAACCATGAGGACCTAATTTAGGTTGGGTAATCCAGGAGGACTTCTCTAAGGAGGTGACTTTAGGCTGAGCCCTGACAGATGAGGAGGAGCTGGTGATGTAGTAAGAAGGTGGAAGGACATTTCAGGCAGCAAGAAAAGGACATACAAAGCCCCCAAGGCATTACGGGACATGGAAAATTTAAAGAGAAGGGAGAAGGAGGGGGTGAGAGCTGCATTGTGCACATCGGTGAATGCCATACTTGAGACCTGGAACTTGATTTTAAGAGTACTGGTGCACTATTGGAAGATTTCCTTTCCTACTCTGACAACCCAATAACTGTCTCCCTTCCCAGCCTACCCCTTGACTGCGGTGACCATTCACCCCAATGAAATTCATCCATTCCAATACTGTGTTATATTGTGATTCTTGTCTCTCACCCTTTGAGCATGGACGGGTTAGCTGTTCCGACTGCTCTTTGGGAGATGACTTGCCCCCACCTTCTGGGAGTCCCCAGGCTGATGAAGGAGACAGACAAACAAACAGGCAGTTACCAACACAGGCTGATGAGGGCCAACATGGGCATGAGCCTGGGGCTAAGGGAACACATGAAAAGGATGTCTTGCCTAGCCTGAGACAGCAATCAGGTCTTCCTAGAGGAAACAATATTTTCAGTTTAATAAAAATCGATGAGATTTCCAGGGCACTTATTACATACCAGCCAGGGGTGTAAGAGTTTTGTATTTATCATTTAGCCCCCACAAAAATCCTAGGAAGTAGGTGCTATTATTAGACCCATCTTATAGATGAGAAAAGTGGGCTCAGAGATGTCTCTTGTCAAAGGTAGTAAAGGTGGAATTCAAACCCAGAGAGTCACATAGGAAGAGGGAAGGAGGGGCGGGAGTTCCAGCAGAAAGCAACAGCAAAGTCTTGGAGGCCAGAAGGGGCACAGGGCACCAGGAACTGCCAGTAGTCAGGTGTGGCAGGGGCTTCAGTTGCTTTCATGGTAATCAGAGAGACAGATGGAGACCAGATCATAAAAGGTCTTGCCAGCCCAGGTGTGGAGGTTGAACTTTACCTCAGAACTTTGGGTTCATGAGCCAAAGTATAAAATGCCAAGCTGGAAAATGCTGTAGAGGCCGAATAATCCAGAGCCTTGGAGGGCAAGTTACTCAGGAGACTTTATTCCAAGTAAAATGGAAAGCCACTGAAAGTTGTACACAGGTGAATGACATGTTATGTTTATAATGTAAAGGCTCCTTAGAGAGCTTAGAACATATGCCCAAAACGATAAGGGGAGTGGGAAAGAGAGGAACCAACTTGAGTCAAACACCTACTGTGCATCTGGCACTAAACTCGGCACTTTACACACATTGTATCATTTAATCCTCACCTCCAAGAGCCAGAACCACTACTACTCTCCATTTCACAGTTAGAAAGCTGTGTCAGTACAAACAAAAGTAGTAGGGAGAGAATGAAGGCTGATAAAGTGACAGGATTTAGCAAGGAAGGCGCATTTCAGAACCTTGGAGAGAGTCGTGTCATCTTGTGGCATGAGCCACGTTGTAAAGTGAAGAGCATCTGAGAGGGCTGAGGATTTCATGAAGAAAATGGTGTTTAAGTGAGATCTCACAGGACAACTAAGATAGATAAAGAAGGGGGTATGATCTTCTTCATCTTTTTCATACAACCTGTGATGCAGGCGCCAAGAAGAGAGAGGTCTCCAGAAGTTCCATTCTTTTGTCATTGTCTCGAATTTTAAGAAGGATATAGCAAAAATGAGGCATCAAGTCTCCACGGTAAAAGGAGATGCAGAAGAAATTGCAGACCACTGGTAAAGATCCTGAGAGCCAGATAAGATGGTCCTTGATGTGGGGGGAGGAGGAAGGGGCTGTTATTACAAAATTACATTTGATCCCATTATCCTTCAAGACTGTTCTTGGCCACCAACATGACCCCCCCCCCCACCAAACAGGCAGTCAGGCAAGAATCCGTCAGTTCCTGAACCACAGATAATCCAACATCTGTATGCTCCATATTTATCTTCTCTTTGATTCAGACTTGCAAATAAGGACTAATTTGCCAGCCCCTTGCAAGAGGCAGATGAGGCAAACCACCTAAAAATTTCTACGAATTGCGAGGTCTATGAGGCAATCCCTATATTCCCCAAATAATCTGACCCCTTAAGGATATAAAACGAGGCAGGAATATCCTAGGAACACTGTGACCCAGCATGGGGGTGATAAAAGAATTACAACAAAAAGCAACACAGATTGAGTGATTACTGGGTGGCAGACATGACCCTAGGAAATTTTCCTAAATTATCAATTTTATTCCCCACAAAAATCCTGAAAGTTACATATGAATTCCCACTCTGTAAACAAGGAAACCTCAAGATTTAAACCCCTGTCTGACCCCAGTCTCTATGCTCATCTGCAATATAGAATTGGAGTCTGCCACGGACCCTATCATGGCAGGGTGAGTAAATCAAGGTCTAAGAGTAAGATGAGAACATCTAAAAATGTACCCAGAATCCCTTCCATGATTTTAATAATGTGGAATGGGAGTTTACAAGGAGACATGAATAAATATATACCACAAAATATAAAATACAAAGCAGTGCACGTAGCCCAAAGTTAGATGATCAATTTCTTCTTCAAATTCCTCTACAATTGATTCATCTCTATTGGGGGGGGGGTCCTTTTTTTCTTTTTTTTTTTCTTTTGTTATGTTAGTCACCATACATCATTAGTTTTTGATGTGGTGATCCATGATCCATCGTTTTCGTATAACACCCAGTGCTCCATGCAGTACACGCCCTTTTTTCTTTTTTAAAGAGGTGCCATCCCCTGCCTTAAACCCTGGTCATACCTGAACCACCTCCAGGTTGGAATCTACCTTATTCTTACCATCTCAAGAATGGATTACCAAACTACCCTCAGACTCTGTTGCAGCATTCAGAAGGGTTCTCAAAACCCACTGAAACACACAAAGCTGTGGCCCAAGCTTACTCACTAACAGGGACATAGAAAATACACACACAGTTTCCCCTTCCTCAACCTCCTCCTCCATCTCGGGCGTGAGAGCCCCTTGCATCCTGGCAGGGATTCGACAGGTATGCCCGCGTCCTCCCTGGCCTGATTAACTCTCAAAACAGAAGCTTCAGAATCTCAGTGCCCCTTCCTTTCTTGTAGCTTTTCACACTGTCCGCATGATTAGAAAAACCATAAATGCTTTAAAGCATGCCCTTAATTTGTTTTTTCAATGAGATGCAAATCATGCTCCAGCGTTTACTACCCCTGAAAAAACAAAAGACTTGCCCGATCTGTGGGCCCTTTACATTCAGGAATGGAGGAAGTTCTCCCAGATAAGGACAATGCTGCCCTGGAGACATCACACGAGTGATAGAAAGAGAGAGCGGGGAGGGAGGACCCGAGATACCCAGACCCACCCCCAGCAGCTTCCTAACTGGCCCTCTCTTCTTGGGATTGGGAATTGAAGGTACTTTGATCTGCTGTCCAAACTCCCTGAGGATCTGAAGAATTTCCGCCCCGCCAAAAAGATCCTGGCGAAACTGCAGAAGTTTGGGGAAAACCTGGACCTCAGGATCCGGCCCCATGTCCTCCTGAAGGTGCTACAGGACCTGAGGATCTGGGAGCTGTGCTCTCCGGACATTGCTGTGGCTATCGAGGTAACTACTGTGTTCTGTCCGCTCCTCACTAGGCCTCCGGTGCCCTTATATAGTCATCTCTCAAAGTCCAGGCACTGGTTAAGTACTGCAGACCCAATTAAAAAGACATAAGGTCTCTGCCTTCACGGAGCTCATCATCAAACAGGCGAGGGATTACGTGACCTTGGTGGTTCAACTCCAGGGGACCTTATATTCTAGGTAAACGGTGCCCCCTGGGGAAACTTGGAGGCTTTGGAAAGACATAAATAAATGGACAAGTGAATAAAATAACTAGCAATCATAATAAACAGCACTCTAAATGTGGCCCGTGGACCAGCAAGCATAGACCTCACTTGGGTGCTTGTTAGAAATGCAGAATCTCAGGCTTCAAACCATAGCTACCAACTCAGAATCTACATTTAAATGAGGTCCCAGGTGATTTGTATGCACAATAAAGTTTAAGGAGCACTGATTTAAGGTAAATGTCGAGGGGACCTATCTTAACTAGGGTGACTGGGGAAGGTGACTTTTAAGCTGAAACAGAACTTGACTTGTGGGAGGGACTCATTGGCAGTCAATGGGTTGAGAAGGAAGCAAGCAAGGAGGGGCCAGATTGCAAGGGGATTGGAGAGGTCAGTCTGTGCAGACTTTTGAAAGTCAGGTTAAGGATTTAGGTCTTTATCTTGAGCCTGTGGGGAAGCCACTGAATGGTTTTCAATGGTAGTTTATCATCACCACCCACTCTAGATGTTCCTAGGGCATCAAATGGTATCAGCAGATGGGGGAGAGTCACTTTCTTAATTTCATCAGATGGCCTACGTACATTTTTTTTTTTAAAGTCGGCTCCATGTCCAGCATGAAGCCTAACGCAGGGCTTGAACGCACGAGCATGAGATCCAGACCCAAGCTGAGATTCAAAAGTCGGACGCTTAAACGACTGAGCCACCCAGGTGCCCCAGAGGGTATATGTACATTTTAATAGGGCTTTCAATGTCTCAAGATAAAGATGGGACTCAAATGGTAGAATTCTCAGTCCTCTGGGTGTTTTCATGCCAGGCTCGTGCTCCCACAGGCTGAACTGGGTGTATATATGTAGTGCAAGGTCAGGAGTGGGGGAAGGGGGATGACCCTGTGGACAAATCCATAGGTCCAGACTGCACTCCCCACATCCCGTGAGGCTCCTTCAGGAAAGACTGGTAGACTACTCCAAAACTCACTCAAGGGCAACTCTCCACTCCCCACTTGCCAATTATGGGGTCCACCTTCCACCTGCAATTTATGGGGTTGTAGAAGAGGCAATCTCCAAGTGGGCAAGAGGAAGGCTACTATGGAGGCTCTGAGGTGAGTTCACCACCCCAGCCAGTAAAACTTAGCATGCTCCTCTCCCAATGAGAACATCACAGAATGTCTGATAACCAGGATGCGGGGGTCTCTTAATCTAGAACTTGTACGAAACCACATTTTGTGTCTGAAAAGCCTTTTTTGGAAGTGAGCTCATAGTTATCATCAATTCTCAAAGAGATCTACAAATGAAAAAATGCTTAAGGACAAATGACATTTTAAAAAAGATATTAAGGATTAGGGCAGAAAGAAAAATGCAGACAGCTGGGTTTTTCTGCTCCCCCCAAATTTCTCTGGGTCAATAGTAACAAAAAAGGCTTAAAATTAGTCTGCTGAACCAGGAAGCTGGAAAGGGGTTCTTTTCTTGAGAGAACAAAATCCCCATCATGATGCTCCAAGGCATTATGAATGCCTGAATGTTTAGAGGCATCCTGTGGCCGCCAGCCTCAATCACACATCTTCCAAGATCTTGGAGGTGGGGCAGCAAAGGGAGTCTAGCTTTCAGACCAAATCTGAAGTTGCTACTGTATTTGCCCTGCAGTTTGTACGTGAACACATCATCCATATGTCTCAAGAGGATTATATCACCTGGCTGCAGAACCGGATCAATATCCCCATCCGATCCCAAAGTCTCCGGGCATAGCCTGGCCCTGGTTCAACCAGCTGTCCCAGTGGAGGAGGGCTAAACTACTGTATTCCTGCTTCCGACCTGTGTTCCTGCTTCCTGCCTATCCACTAGGATATAGGAGGGTCTGACTTCTGGCAACATTCTAGAGGAAGATACTCCCCGGTGGAAACTCCCCTCAACCTCACACCCCAGCCTCAAACTCCCAGTCTCTGTTCCTCATTGGTCCAGCCTGACTCTACCCACTCCCTCTCCAGATGCCTTCGCCTTACTCCTCTTCCTCAAATTCTGGTTAATAAAATGGAGCTGAGTGTTTGATGTCTGGCTGGGAAAGAGTTGGAACTGCGGAATTTGGGTATGGTATTCAGATCCTAATAGTAACCACGGTACTATTTATTAAGCTTTGGTTATGCAATAGGCCCAGTGCTGGGTGAAGTTATATTGCCTGCTAATATCATTTAATCTCACAATAACTTGGTTAATTAAGTAGGGAATGATGATACTGTCCCCATTTCACACCAATGGAGCTATAGCATATTTCTAAACATTATGTATAGGCCATGGATGGATAGCTGGGTAGGTGGGTAGATGAATGGATGGGTGGATGGACAGATGGACGGATGGATGGATGGATGATGGATGAGGCATTCCCAAATAAGGCAAATGGTATGCAAGAGAATTTCAGCCTTAACAGTCCTCATATACTTTCTGGTGGTCTTGGTTGCACAAGGAAGCTTAACTTCCTATCATCTCAAAATGTGTACGGACTCATTGCCATTTTACCTCTTTTCTCATTTTAGTCTTATGCTTACCTACATGCTCACCAAGTTATAAAACAGGTAGTCATTTTAACTCTCACTGATGGCCCAGCTGAATTAAACAACTGGACTTGATTTGCTCCTATTCCCAGATTATCAGAGCACTCATATAGGCTGGCCCTCCACATCTCCTCATGATAATCCAGAAGGGAGGGAGGAGAGCTGAACTGGCACTCCTTTTTAGTTTAAGCAACAGCTCACTCCTCCATTCACCTACTCAAGTCATTGACACATTCATTCCATGAATGTTTACTGAGAGCTCACTATGCATCAACCAAGTTCTAGGTTCTGAAGATATAGCCATGACTAAAGCAGACATGGTCCCTGCTCTCTTGGAGGTTACATGGAGACAGACAAGTCAACAAAAGGCAATGGGGTGGGAAGAGGGATTGCACAACATCACACATCTCTTCACACTGATGTCCTTTGTTTACCATGATACCTGGACAAGCCATTGAGGTGCAAAGGTGAGATGCTGCCTATAAGAAGTCTGCAAAGTTAAGAGACCCCACACCTCTCTGTATTAAATAGGAATTTGGGTAAGGGGGAGGTGAGAATAAAGGAGGAGGGCCAAGGGAGGGAAAAAAAAGAGGAAGAAGGAAAGGGGCCTGAGAAGGAAACTTGGGGGAAAACCAACCAGGGGAAAGTTCCCGAGGTGGGGCTGGCTAGGGGATCTCCAAGAACTACAAGCCAAACCAACCCCCTCTGCTACATCACCTTGGATCTTTAGTAATTTCTGTCATATACTCAAGTGTCCTCTGGGGGTGATGTTTTGAGGAAACATAAGAAGAAGCTATGTTCTACATCTGGGTCAGCCTGGGGGCCAAGAAAGGGCTTGAGGGACTCAGAACGGAACACAATTAAGAATTTAGTAGGAGCAGGAACTCCAAGACAGACCACTATTCCTTAAGTTCTCTAGATTTATAGAAATCTGTTTTAAGATTTATTTATTTGACAGAAAGATTGAGAGCACAAGCAGGGGGAGTAGCAGGCAGAGGGAGAGGGAGAGGGAGAAACAGGCTAACCGCTGAAAGCAGAGAACCCAAAGATATGGGGCTTGATCCCAGGACCCTGGAATCATATCCTGAATCAAAGGCAGACGCTCAATCAACTGAGTCACCCAGGCGCCCCTACAGAAATCTTGAATGCACATTTGGCTTACCACTAGATAGGGGATGGGACTCTGCTAAACTGATATATATCTCATACATCTCTCAAATGTCAGGTGACATTTAATTACACTAGAGAATCAGTGCAATGGTGCCAAATTAAAGCAGGTACAAGAACATCCCAGGGGACATACGGCTGAGGGTGGCAGGAGGGGGTGGGTCTCAACTCATACTTGAGATGTCAGGAAAGGCTTGCTAGAGAGGGTGATGATTGCTGTAAGATGAGTAGGAACCAGGGAGAGAAAGGTAAGCCAGACAAGGAGGGAGGGAAGAACGTTCCAGGTATGGAGAAGAGTGTGTGCAATGGCCTAGAGGCAAAAAGAAACTTGATGTCATTCAAGGAACTAAAATAACAAGGTCTGGCTAAAACTATAAGACCAGGTTGTTAGCAGGACAGGGAAATGGAGGAGGGAGGTAGAGACAAATTTGGAGATGCCTTCTAGGCCATGTTATGAGGTTAAGACCAACTTACTGGCAATATGGAGCCATGGAAGGATTCTGAGCAGGAGCTTAATCAGACTTGTGTTCCAGAAAAAAAGAAAAGACTACTATGTAAGTGCAAGGCGGGAGGCAGGGAGCTAAGATAAGGCTGTCTCAGTGATTGTGGGGAGAGCAATGGCAGTGGGGACCGAAAGTCTCTTGAAAAGAATCAACAGAACTTGGTGTGGGGGGTTACAAGTGGGCAGAAGGCAGAGAATGTCAGGAACCATGTCTGATTTTCCAGCTTGGATCTCTGGGTGGAGGATGGTGCCTTTAATGTACCAGGAGGAAAGGAAGAAAAGAAAGTTCTGAACGTTGTTTGGAGTATATCGAGTGGGACAGTCATGTGGAAGAATCTGAAACTCAGGAGGGAGGACCGAGGTAGAAACAGGACATGAACATCGCATAGGCCATGATGGTTAAGGCAGGAAGTGGGAGGACAGGCTGGGAGAGTGGCCTTGAGGACAGAATGACAAAAGCATCAAGCAGCCCACTCACAATCCAGCCCTGACTGAGGGACTGCTTTGTTCCAGACACACGGGAAAGCTTGACGTGGGTTTTCTCATTTCATCTTCATGATCCTGCAAGGCCAGGCTCACCTGCTTTACAGACGATGAAATCGAGGCTCGAAAAAGTGTCCTGCACTCATATCCAGCTGACTCTGAACTCCCTCCCTCCCTCCACGGCTGCCCCTCTCTGACCCCAATCCTCATTGTATGAGACCAGGAGGTCATGAAAGTTATCTTGCTTTTGGAATCACATCCAAGGAACAGCTCTAATGGCAGGGCCCCCTAGCATTGTATTTTAAGTAAATTTGCACAGTTTGCAAATAGGATAATACTCCTGTAATAGCTTATTTGATGCTCACAGCATCCCTCTGGGTGGACATTGTTCTAATTCACATTTTACAAGTAAGGACCATAAGGATATCAAAACTTAAGGTCATTTGCCAACAGTCACACAGCCGGTAAGTGGCAGAGCCAAGTCCAGAACGGGTCCATCTTGGGCAGGGAGGTACTAAAATCACAAGACACTGGGCCCTCCCTCTGGCCCCTTTCTAAGCCTAGTTCTCAGAGCTGTAGCTCCATCTAGTGGTCTATAATAGCACTGCGCTCCCATCATGCCCATCAGCAAAGTAGAACCTTCTACTTTGGAAGAAGAAGTCAAGTTTTAACAGCAGCAATAAGACCTACTCTGCTTAGACAAGGAGTATTTACTCAAGATATTCTACTGCTAAGATATACTGGGGACTCGGAGGAAGGACTACATCACCTCCCAGCTCCTAGGCTCAAAGAAGAGCCACAGGGAGAAATAGTTGTGCTGTGAGCCTCCTTCTCAAAATCTAATTAAGCACCTACTGTGTGCCAAGCCTGTGCCAGATGACCAGGATCCACAGTGCTGCTGCTCTGACCAAGCCACCTGCGTGGCTATCATGAGAGTTTTTAAAACCACATGTACCCTACAGAAGCTTTCTCTGTAAAGGAGCAGAGAGTAAATATCTGTTGCATATTCTTTTTATATACGTAGCCCTTTAAAAATGTAAAAGCCATTCTTATACTGGAGGCCATATAAAACAAATTATGCCCAGATTTGGGCCATAGGCTATAATTTACTGACCCTTGCTAGAGTGTCAATTGAAGGAAGAAAGGGAATTTTCTTCCCCAAAACCTGAGACAAGGAGGGCTGGTGAAAATAATATGGTAAATAGGTAGACAGAGGTTTTTTGTTTTTGTTTTTGTTTTTTGTTTTTTGCACCATTCATAATAGTGAGGGACTATTACATTTCCTTTAGGAAATGGGGAAAGGGAATGTATGCACATGTTAAAAATTGTAACACTGCAAAAGGACATCTGCTAAATAATATTTCTCTCCCCTCCAAACCTCAGACCCAACTCCCATCTAGAGGGGCAATCTCATTGTTCCTAGTAGCCTGTGTATCTTCCAGAGTTACTCTGTGCATATACAAACCAAAAACAAATAAGCAAATTAAAATGGAGCATTTATTGTGTACTTACTCTATGCCAGGTATTGTTCTAAGCGCCTTGCATGTTAATCTTATTTTATCCTGAGAGCAGCTCTATGGGCCAGCATGACTCTGATATTAATAGTAGAGGAAACCAGGGTGCAGAAAAGCTGAGGAACTTGCCCAAAGCTACAGAATTTGGGTGGATATCATTTTTTCTTTTTAACAGAAATAGTGAGCCTGGTATACAAACTTGTGCATTCATTTATGTTGGTGGTGATTTCACTTCGTATATTCCTACTTTATATGAAGGAAGAAAGTGCCTGGAGTGTCATACCATGGAAACCAACAGCTGCACTGTCATCACCCCCGGTCCTGACATTTCTTTTCATGGGTCCCAGATCAGGAAGGACCTGGACCAAAAGTTATGACCAACTGTAAAGAGTAATATTGGAATAAAAGCCCAAGCTAACTTTAAAACCACTCCCGTAACACTTCCCTCTTTATCCAAACCACTCATTTCAGCCCCTGAGCCTCACTCTCCATGGCTGAAGTTGAGTGTCCTCCCCTGTCTGGGGTCCCAGAGGT